CCGGGTTTCCACTTGGCTCTTCTCGCTCGACGAGCGCGTCCACCACTCGGGGATGGCCCTCAAGAGGGGCTGGAGAGAGACCGAAGCATCCGAATAGCAACTAGCTAGAAAAGGGAAGCTGCAAATTTTTCATCTCCATTTTCCCGGGACGCACCCCCAGGAGCCAGGAGTCTCCGAAAGCAGTAATGGCCGGCGGAGCCACCCCGAGATGTGTGAAAGAGCTTCGGTTACCTTTTTTATTCTCACGGGGGAAACTTAATTAACGCGTCGCGTTCTTTGTCGCGATACCAGAGAGGTACCTTTTAACACTTTCGATCGAACGGGGGCGCATGTCGGCCGGTAGCCGACGTAGTGGGCGTCCATCCCCTCTGAGAAATCTATATGAAGCCTCTGCAAAATGCATCCGGGGGACTTGGACCTGCCCTCCCTGATGAAGATTAAGGTGTTACGAAAGGGATATTCTATTGGATTGACGCAAAAGTTCGTTCCGTTCGATGCAACGCAATCTAGCGTCAAACCCGAGACACACTTTTATGTTGACTTAATATTTGTATACATATCAAAACGTCAAAATAATGATAAAACTTTTCATCAACCTGGGTGCACCGAATCATTCGAACGTGATTATGGAGGCCCTAAGGAAGAACGCGATGAAATTTCGTTTCTCCAATAAAAAGTATGTTCTTGGTTCTAATCCGGGATAAATAAAAAAATTGTATATTTTAAAAATGAAATTTCACGAGAATCGGGTTTTTCCTCGGGTCCTCCGCAATCACGTGGTGAAGCTTCGAATGATCCTGTGCACCCACTGTAGAGAAAAATGTTTTAAATATTTTGACATTTTTATGTATATAGAATGGCCCTTTCGTAACACGTTAAATTAGCAATGAAAATTTAAATTGGCCTCACGATGGCGTATTTTTTAATCTGTCACCAGCAGCATCAGGGTTGACATTTCCGGCTGGGGGAAGCTTGGACCCCCGAGGGGGGTTGGTACCAACCCACTCCCCTTTCCCCTCCCTCGACCATGATGGGTGCCCTCCACGTGTTCCAGGGCGTCTTCCGCGAGTCGGCTCTTCCTCATCATCGTAAAGTTTATGCCACGCACCCCCTACCCCCGGTAGTATTAGGGGCGCATCGCCCTGAGCGTAGCCCAGCTGAAGAGGACGCGGAAGAGGGTGGCGCAATTTTGCCCGGCACTTTATGGACCATCAGACGTCGGCTAAACTTCCAGAGGGGGCCACTTCGGTCCTCGCCAGAGAAAGTGTGGGGGTGGAGGAAACTTTCCCTGGAAATACAGAAGAAGCCTCCCTCGACCTTGAAGAGCGTTCTCCAGGGAGATTCCGGAAGCGTTCCTCGAAAATACTGAACGATATACCCCATGTGTCGCCCCCCAGTCACCCCATTACCACCCCCACGTAATCCCCACAATTTTTACTCGGGAATTCGCGCCCCCATTGTTCGCGGACTGGGCGAAGGGGGGCGGGGAAAAAATGCATTTGCATGAAAATATCTACTCGACGATCCTGTACATCGATGAGGAAGACGGAGGACGATCACCCCTCGCAAAAAATGGCCATTTGCATAAGGGCACCTGCACTTCCGGGGACGGCGAAAATGAAGATTCCTCGTTTCCTCCCCCGGGAGGGACTCCGGGAGTGGCGCGGCCGATGCGGAATTGTCCGAGATAGGGGAGGAAAGTTTCGAAATAAATACACCGGGTAATGGGAGCCCCGTGCACTCGGGTCGGCCATATTCGTTACGGCGATACCGTGTCTGCGTCCTTATCACCGGTGATATCGTTTTCCAATGTCCGACTTCTTCTGGTACATCTTCGGATCTCTCTAGAAAAGGGTGGACTCGCTATCTCGCGATTCCGCGGGCCCCTCGCGGCTTTTCCTTCGACGTTGCTCATTTTCTCTTCAAATAACGAGTCACTCGATGGATGAATATTTTTTCACCAACCCACCTTTCGAACTTCATTTTTTAGGGGGATGATCAAGTCCAGGATGAGACGCGGTTGCGATAGCGTCGGCCAAGTTACGACCTGGCGTGTCCGCTCGCCATTAGGGGCGAAAGCGAAAGAGAGGCAAAAAGTAAAGTGGAGAGAAAGGAGGAGGAGTGAAAGGGAAAGGGAAAAAGGGATAAAAGGAGAGAGAGGAGCCTGATTTGTTTCACGTAACGAGGTCTCCGGTTAGGGTGGGGCCGGTCTCAAAGGATGCTGAGGAGAGTCGCCCGAACGGGAACCAAAGGAACCAGAAGAAGAGGGAGAAGGAGGAGAGGACCGAGGGGACCAGGGGGGCGCACCCCCGGATAAATACTCGCGGTCCTTAAATTCTCGTTAACACTCTTTCTCCCTGGATTTCGATTACGTCGTCCTTTAATTACGGCCCGATAAGACTTCCTTAATTCTCCTCTGTCTCACCCCCCTCACCTCGCTCGCCCCAAAGGACGGTAATGGGCTGATACAACGTGTTGTTTATTGACCTTGTTTACTCCTCCTGATACCCCGTAGAACCTGTCCCATCAGGGGCGACCTTAATGTCTCCAATGAAGTCGCAATCACCAACGACGAAGAGGAAATGGATCGAAGTCCAGACACTGATTTATTGTCAGACTTTATTTTACCCGTTTCAGTGGGATCAGAATTTAATGATCACCCCTCGGCCTCTTTATTTAATTAAACCCTCTCGGGGGACGAAAGGAGGAACCGTACGTGGGACGCCGAAGAGGACGCCGAGACGCTCCTCGTGGCGTGGAGCCAATTAAAAAACGCAAGACAAGGTCCATTCCGGTGACGATGCAGCATCTCCCGAGCATCTTTGTGGATGTCCTTGTCGTTGTAAATCGAAGGAGGAACTCGAGTTGACGCCTTGTACATATCGATTATCCGTTTAGCCGGCCACTGCAATGCACCAGTCGGTCTCGCTCTGCTCGCCGAGTCTCCGGTCCCCTCGATTTGCATTTAACCCGTTCCCCGTGGATAAACAACCGAACAATTCCATCAGCAATATTCCCGAAGTGCACCGACCCTGTGCATCCCTCTTACGATCAACGCTTTTGCGCGAAACCGCGGCGTTCTCCAAAATGATCCCATTCTCCAAAATGGCGGCATTGTCTAAAATGACGGCGTTCTAAAAAAAAGAAAACGGTGGCGTTCTTCCACATGGCAGCGTTATCCAAAATGACTGGATTATAAAAATGACGCCGTTCCAAAATTGGCGACGTTCTCCAAAATGGAGGCGTCATAAAAACAGCGGCGTTCTCCAAAATGGCGGCGCGTTCCTGCATTCACTAGCCGATTCGCGACTTACTCCTTGTGTTTTATTGAGTACGGCGTCAATGTTCGTCTGTATACTTTTTCAAGAAGTAACCAGGGCTAATATCGTCCGGGGGTTGATGCGTCTAGAAAGTTACCCCATCAGCCCTGACTTTTCGTATCCGCTACTCGGGCACGTAGAACGGAAGTCACGCGAGACACCTAAAGACGGTTAAGATGGCGTCGATCGCGAGGAGGATATATACGAGGGGGTAGTTTCGCGGGGGGTGGACTCTAATTCTCGCGGCGGACGTTAACGACACCGAGAGGGATAAACACGAGCCCGAGGGGAGGTTTCTGGGGGCGGGCATCTGTAATTCATGTAATCAATTGGCCCGCCAGCCGATAATTCATCCCTTAACGGATCCGTTCTTTACGATCGTCCACCCGCTTCGTAGGAGCAAACTCGACCCCCTCCAAGGGGTGGGACGTTATTCCCGGTTAACATCCCTGTATACCGACAACGTATAACCGGGTTACGGGAATATAAAGAGAGATTTAGGGGTAAATTCGAATGTAATTCTGGAGGGTTTACTCAGGAGCGGCGACTCAGTACTTGGCAGACCCTGGCCTTAGAATGAGGTAACTGGAGTGTCGAAATCATATGAAATATATTTATTTATTAAATGTAAAATACATATGCGTTTAAATTAATGCTTTTCCGTGTCGAGGAATTTCGACTGAGATGGGGGCTAATTCTGAGGCTTACCGCCGATGCCAGAGGGGTGGATTATTTGTGAAATGAAAAAAATCGATCTTTGGATGAAGCATGTTTCAGGGGGCGCCAGAGAAGGACGGAGCGAGCCGGGACCGCAAGGGGGAGAAAGAGATATCCTGGGTTAGTCGATAAAATAGTCGGTATGACGGCGCTGGCTTCCTCGGCGCGAGTCGGCGGTAAGTTAGTCCTATGATTGACGGTTTCCGGTTCCGGTTCGCCGGGACTGATATATCGTAACATCCAGGAAGTCTGCAGGTCGGCCGACCGGCGAACTATTGGCCGCCCTCTCGGCGCTTTCCCCTGGACCGCCCAGCCTACTCTTTCCCCGCTCCACGGGAAATTCCTCGAAATTCCGCGAATTTTGCCAACCCCTCGACTCCTGACCCCTCCTCCCTGGAAACTCGATCGCCCGATAGCCCGAAGACCGGGGCCGTATCTCAAAAAATCGAATAACTGTCCACTTCGCTCCCAGAAATTCGGAAAATCACTCGTTGGCTTGAACTCGCTGTTCCCTCTCCGGAAATCGGACCCCCGAAACACGTTCCATCTTCAATTCCGTCTTTATACGTTGATTCTGCAATTTTCAACTCACATCTTCATGCCGATTTCAAATTTAATATCCACCCGTAAATTTTAACGTCCCATTACCCTACCCGAGTCGAAATTTGGAATCTACACCGAGAAAAAAGAATGTATCGAACCGAAGAAATATTTCCTTGACTAGTACCAAAGAAATCACTTCATTAATTAAGAGGATAATTATTTCATTCAAGTAAACTGAAATAAATTTTCACAATTCCGAAGAAATGTTGCATCGATTTCAATCGAGTTTATATTTTCGTTAAATAATTACTCTTTGAATTAAAGAAATATTTCTCTGGCTCAATGAGATCTTTCTCTCGGTGCAATTGTAGGTGTTAAATGGATTTTCACAGGATTTACTTTCATGTGCTTGAGGTCCAATTTTTTACCTTAAAATGACAGATATTTCCAGTTTTCTTATTTGTAGACCTAAGATAAGACTTCATTCGACAATAAATCAGGACGTACGAAGGTAAAGAGACTTAGAGAAATTAAACAGGACCAAAGGAGGTCTTACGTTATGCAAGTTCAAAAGAGGGCTCAAATTTCTGCTCGGATATATCCTGGTGTAATCGTAATCCCAGTCTTGATCCACGAAGAGTTCTAAAATACAGAAATATTAATTCTTAGGAATTCAACACTCCCCAACTTGGCGTTATGAACTCTGTGGCATTTTACACATACACATGGCTTCGTGCATACGTATATGTACGTATGGAAGTGTGTACATTTGGCGCGGTTTCCGAAATTCTAGAGGAAATTCGGCCGCCCCTTTTAATTTTGGGCGAGATTCTAAGTGCCTTCTTCTGCAATCAATAGTTTCCAGCTGATCGGAATTTCGGAAGATGCAGCATCCGTCTCGGTGCATCGGGATGCAGGGGGACCGGCCGTGCATCTCGCGATGCATGCGCCATGCAAAGAAGCTCGTGACGCGTGCATTTTTAACGAGGTGCGCCGAACACACCCCTAACTTCGTCCCTTGTGCCATCCTGTCGGCCATGAAGGGTGCAGGGAACGACCAGGGTGGCACTCGAGCCGTCTGAACCTCGTATGAACCTAGACGCACGGAATAATTATTACAGTTTCAATATGTGAACGCGGAGAGGTGAAGAGTCACGTGACTATCTAGACGCGTGAAGAAGAGAGGGAGGTCCTTTTATCCCGACTTTTCATTTCACGGAATTAATATGCACATGGCCCGCTTTGTTATTTATAATGCCCTGCATTGTCCCCTGCATAGTCGCTGAACGTAATCACGGCCATTTTTTATCAAACGCTAATTTATTCCCCGCAGTATCGTCGGAGTTTAACCGTTTAATTACACATGGAGATTCCCGAGATTTCAGAGATTTCAGAGATTCCCGAGATTAAGAGTGGGGACAAAAATGAACAACTCGCCAGGGGAATTAGAGTAATTAATTGCGTCCAAGGGAGCCTTTGGAAATCCTTTTGAGCCCCTGGGCATTTTGGAAAACATTAATAAATACAATGGAAGATATTTCATCCCATTTTCGTCATGCTCTCCTTTATGTTCTGCCGCATCGATGAAATGGAGCCCTTCAAATCCGTTTCGGCTTTATCGAGAAATTGTTTCCGGTCACCGTCCACCAAATCTGACAAGACTTGTATGAAGTCTTCAGGTGTATTCGGCTTGGTCGGCTTGTTGGGTCGCAGATACACCTGCGGGGGTATTAATTTAATATTTAGGGGGGTGTAAAAGTGACGTCTAAGGGGCCAATTGTTCATGAAACTTTTCTCTAAACGGAGTGTAGCGGATCCTTTCAAACTTACTTTTTAATATGAAGGTTGTAAGGGAAACCCTTACACCCATGAAATTTCATTTTCTATAAGAAAATGTAGAAACGTCTATAAAAAAATTTATACAAAAAACAAATTTCATGGGTATCAGGACTTTCCTTACAGCCTCTATATTCACGTTGTAAAGTTTGAAAAGACTCGGTACATCCTGTTTGGAAAAAAGTTTCATAAACGAGACCCCTTTGACGCCACTTTCACATCACCTTAAGGAACACGGGGTGAATTATTATTGCACATGGGGATGAGAAATGTTAGGTCGATTTTTATCGAGGGGATGTAAATAGCAAAATAAGGAATCTCACTTGAAGGATAAAGCTCGCCAGGATGCAGATCGCCAGGACCTTCTTCATGGTCGTTAAAGTGCGCGAATGTTCGCACAAAGTGCACCGTAGATTCTGATTGCACCTCGGGTTGCAACTCGTCCTACAACTCGTACTGCAACTCCGTGTTCGTTTATCGCACTCGCCATGTTTTATATACACCGACAGAAGAGATCACCTGCCGGAAGGAAGCGTTATTATCCTGCGCCTGAAATCGCCTCTCCTCGGCAGAAAATTGTGCCGTCGTTTTGACATCGCCTGCATTTGCATACGCTACGTGCATGCAATTACTTATGCACAAACGTGTCCCGGAAAATCCGGATAATTGAAGGCGCACGTCCAGGGAGAAAATGACCGTAAAAGTGCATTATGCCGTGGTAAAGATGTGCACTCTCTCGTGGAAAACCCAATGTCACCTGCAGCACAGTCGCAGGATTAGCCGACCGAAATTCATAAAATATTATTCCTCTGCAAGGAAAAAAAAAAAAAGAAACGTGTGTCTTAAAGCCGATTTCATCTAGAGGAGACATTTTTACCGCGATGAAACGTCTTAAATTAACCTGCCGAGTACAGAAACGAGGTAAATAAGTCTTCGCGTGCGTGTAGGTATTTGGCGCGAAACTCTGCCGAGTCTCTGGATATCTACCGAGACGCTCACCAGGGGCGCGCGAGTATATACGTGTTTCAGTGCTCAGGGACGAAAAAAGAGAGTCTTGGCGCCATTCGGAAGGTTTTCCCTTTCTCGGGCCATCTCCGAAATTCACGAGTCGTCGATCAGGTCGGAAAAGGGCAGAAAAGGCGGCGAAAGGACGATTGAAAGATCGACCGTAGAGGCGAGCGGGAACCTCTCAATCCTGATTGCTACTTAAGTTCCTCCCGTGGACGATAATGGTCCCTAAAGTTAGGGACTTCTCCTCGTCCCAGAAAGTCGAGGAGAAGAGAACATTCGGGGCTGGTGCACTTTTCCGAGCAGTCGCTTCGAGCGGAGAGCAAAGAATCGCGGTGCTCTCTTGGCGTCGCGTTTTCCCCCTGCCCCTCTTTACCTTTCCAGGCCGGTTAGGGAAATTACTTTTCCAAAAGAAACGCCCGGGACCCCGGTTTCCACGACTTCGGAAAACGCTCCACTCCGTGTCTTCGAGACTTCCCCACCATTTCCCTCTTTCTTCTCGGCCTGCCGCGGCGAGAAATGGCTCCGTTATGACTTCCGGAATTCCGAGGGGAAAATTTTCGTCAATCCAGGTTTTCCTTTCCTCCCCGAGCCCAGAAGCGGGAAAAGCTTCGAAAACCACTTCGAAAATTGCGTTTCATCGGGGAGAGAGAAACGTGTATTCTTGTTCATATGCCCTGAGAAAAAAAGATTCATCGAACCAATGAAGCATCTCTTGGAGTAATACCAAAGAAACGATTTCTTAATTCAAAGAATAATTATCTCACTCAGAATAACCTCGAATTCCGGTCATTACTCCGAGGAAACGTTGCATCCAATTAATTCGGGTTTCTTTGAATTAAATAATTATTCTTCAAATTAATACAATACTTCTTTGGTTGACATTCTTTTTTTTCAACGTAGAAGCATGTACTATACAAACTTTCAATGTCAATTTTTGAAAAATTCCACTTACGTACATAACTTCTGTCTTTTATGGAATAGTAAATCACGATTTTCAATCACAGGGTACACGCGAAATCTTATTTAAATGACATGTTCTCTAAATTACATAATCTTGTTCAGAGTCCATTTTGATAAAAAAGAATTATTTCAGCTAAGTTTTCATGACAAATGCACCTGTGTACCCGCGTGATTAGGGGGGGAAAAATCGGGAAATAACAAAATGATCGATCGCCAATGGAGAGGGATGATTTCTGGTATTTATCGAGAGGGTTTCTGAAAGATCGGAACGACAAACCGTGACAACACGGTTAAATAAACCCCGAAATGCATCGCCGGATGCTACCCTCCTGCTGCAGCTCGTGCATCATCTTTGTATATACGAAATCCGAATGTCCATCCGCCGGCCCCATTAATCCTCCGTTTTCGAGGGCGATATGTATTTTCACTACGTGACTAAACATCCGACGCCATTCCTTAATTTATGGAATGCCGAAAATCTCGAAGCAAAACTGCTCTTACGAATTTCACTTCCCCGGATGTCTCGTTACTTCAATTGCGATATTTCGCACGGCACCGTTTGTCGCGTCAAGGCGTTGTTGACTTCTTCCTGGAACTGCTCGTTTTATTATCATCGACATCGCTGACTCCACTTGACAAAACGAACTTACATCACGGCTCGCAATTATCCAATTACGGCGCCACAAAGGCTCCTTTACGAAACTCGGGAAAAAAAGTTAAGAAGCATTGCGTAAGCTGATTCGTTTGCCATTATTGGGAAGGCCCCGAACAATGCTTCGTAATATTTAAAAGAGAATTTTTTTTCGAATTTTTAGAAAGGCCAGGTTGGTTTGGAAAAATTTCGGGATTTTTTACTTGTTTTTTAATTTCCAGGAAATTTTCTTAACGCCCCATTGATCTATAATGAAGCGATCTGATCGGATATTGACGACGACGTTGATAGGGCCTCCACGTCCGGCAATTCTGCCATCAATCCCGATAATTAAGCTAATAATTTAACGTAGCCTGTCCCGTGGGACCCATGGAACGCCGCTAAGAGATGAGTTAACGTTGATAGCCTTCGAGATAGTCCGAGATGTAGGCACCTTCCATACCGATCCAAACTTGGAAATTGATCCATGACTTCCAAATTTGACCATGATCCCAAATTTTTTAGCGAGAATTTAAATTCGCTACAAGAATGAAAGAGATATCGTCCGATCGATGTCTTATCCGCAAAAAGACGCAATTGTTATATACAGAAATTGCAAATCCAAAAATTGCAAATGGAGGCTAGGTGCTCACAAAGGAACTACAGGCACTCAAAATGTTTCCTACTTATCAGGAGAAGGAAAAAAGCCGATAAAAGTTCTAACAGTCGAAGAACACGATGTTTAGCCGGGCTGAACAAGAGACGCGTATCGCTAGTTACTTTTTGCTGGAAATTGAATCGCGAAATGCACGTAGGGATTTTGTGACGAATGAAAAAACCCGAAGGAAATTTCTGCAGGTCGTGCAAATAGGTGGATCGGCGGCATAGCGCGCGACCGTAATTGCACTTTCGTCGAGATTTTATTTGCCGCTCGACATCGCCCGTCGCGGCCCGCCGTTTGCGGAAAGCCCGTTTGACGGAAATAGGACGTCAAATTAAGGTCCATGCCCGATTTCGAGAAGGGCGAGATGACTAGAATTTCCCGCGCGCCCCACCATCCGAAAAGCGGTCCAAGCGTGAATGAAGACTGACTCCACACCCTTAATTCCCACACCGAGAAAAGAAATTCATTGAACCGAAGAAATATTTCCATACTTCGTACCATAATTATTTCCTTTAAATAACCTGAAATAAATTCTCACAATTCCGAAGAAATGTCGCATGCCATATATTGGAATTTATTCGAGTCAAACAATTATTCTTAGAGATGACAAAATATTTCTTTGGTGGAATGAAATTTTCTCTCGGTGTAATCAAATATTCAGATACTACTACCATCGCAAAACTGTTTGTATAATTAATATTTCGGTAAAATATGCCACAGAAGTATGAACGAAATAAATGGGGAAAAAAGTCAAATAGGGTCTAAGTGGACCCGTAGAGAACTTGGAGGTAAAATATTTAAAATTGGTCCCGGGTGTTGTTAATTATGTCCATTTTGCACGAAACTTATCCCGGATTTTTCCCTCTCGTCCTCGTTATTGGAATGAAATTCCTGGCTGTCGGGGTCGCCTAAGGGAGCGACTTTAACGAGCACTGGGAACAGTTTCTTTCGCACCAATTGCCGGCGAGTACTCGCTCGCGAGGTACGCACTTGCTCCGCAAAGCTGAAACGGGAAGGACAAAACAGACCTGACAAAGAGTCGCTGCTCTACCTCGAAGAGAGTGGTATCCACTAATGAGCAACGACTATCCATTCTTTAATCGTACTCGGCGCACGTTAAAACGCGATCTACGCGGACCCTGCGTACCTCGATCCTGGACAAAAGATTCCCCGAAGAGGATCTGGATGGGAATGGCATACAGGATGGCTCAAAAGTTCGCCTCTTTAGTTATACCCTGAACTCCTATCGGAAAAGAATTTTCTACCTGCCTTAAATCTAAATCAAAATTCAAGTACCACTTAAATAAAATAATTCCGTCAATCAAAGAGAATCCTGGAATTATTCGCTAATTTATAAGAGGCGTTCATTTGGAACGTGACCATTTCCAATTCCAAAATGTTCCATTTATACTATTTAGATCACAGGTACACTGAAATGAAAGTGCTCAATGTGCCATAGAAATATTTTGTTAATTCCACGATTTAACACACACTGGAATAAATTGGATGCAACATCTCTTCGGAGTTGACGATTTATTTGAGTTTGTCTGAATCGACAAAATTATTCTTGGAATTAATGAAATGATTCCTTTGATACTGGTCGCAGAAATGTTTCTTTGGTTCGGTGAATTTCCTTCTTCTGAGTGTAAGGATCACTGTGGCGGATTTTTCGAATCTGATTACCTGGTATAAAAAATTGCCGGTTTCCTGTACCGATAGCAGGAAGAGGGAGTGCCGCGGGTACATCTCGTAATCCCGTATAGCATTCCTCTTAATTAGGATCCATGGCCAAGTGGTCAAGATACAGTCTGCAGTCCAGGAAACTGGTTCACCAGCCGGCCAATCGCTGCTCGAGGATTGTGCACCAGGTCTTGCCGCATACGTCGGCTAATTGCACGACTCGGTGCAGGAAACCTTGCATCCAGCCTTACTTGGAAGAGCGATTAGGAGGAATTATTTAATTTCTAAAAATAATTCATAAAATGTAAAACTAAAATTATTAAAAGGAACGAACAATTTTCAACCGTCACTGATCTCAGTTTCGTATCTCACATTCCTCGAATTCGAAGATTTCTATCGGGTACACATAATAAATAAAAATAAAATTTCAATTTTCAAGAAAAAATAAGTGTTCTCAGTTCTAGTCTGGAATAAACCCGAAAAAAAATTTTTTATTACATTTCACGAGCATCGCGTTTTTCCTTCGTTTCTCCATAATCACGTGCTGAAGTTTCTAAGGATTCGGTGAAATCAGCTTAAAGAAAAGTTCTATAAACATTTTGACATTTTCATATATACAGAATGACTTTTCCATAACACCTTAAGGCTTCTAGAGAACCCTAAAATGCACTTTAAAATACTTCGGAAGTCCCAAAGACTACGTGATAATAATTGTATCATTTCTTTTTCAGTTTCCTCATTTTTATGACAAATGATTATCCAAATTCGCGGTTGCTGAATGCCGTCTGAACGTGTTTCGCATCTCTCAAACGAGCATCGGTATCAATCGCCGGTTCGAATGGGAAACGCATTCCGCCCCTCTGCGGGGGTAGATTTACAATGTCCCGAATAAAGGGGAGCAGTTATGGGTGGTGATTTCCCGACTTGAAAATGGCGGAGTCGGTGCAGTTAGATCCACCTGGCATCCCCGACGTCGCGATGTCGGAGCACGTTTACGTCGACGGGTCGGCGTTTACGGCTGCGTTTACATGTCGGTTTCCCTGAGTCGACGGAATACTAACGTCCGTATTAATAGAAACCCCCCCTAATTACGGGAGGTCGCAGCTGAGGGTCGTCGTAATTGTCTGCGAGATCCGAACCCTGGACCAATGTCACTTCTCATCTAATATCCTCGGTACAACAAATTTTCCCCCATTCCACCCAACATGGATTTGTCAAACCTATTTCTCTAAACAATTAACTCATTTGCATCATGGCTCTATATACATTACCAACTTCATAAATCTTGCAAAACAAGTGAACGGTGTAATTCGATTACGCTCTTGATGATAAGTACATTCATCATGTGCGAGTGAAAATGAGGGGAAAAAAATCGTCAATGAAGGATATTAATTTTACTGTAATATTAAGTACCAATTCACTCCTCTCGGCGGACCCGAGTATCTTCCATCATCTCACGTAGCATCCCTCTGCAACTCTTCCGGCGTTCCTCCTCTTCGAGCTGCCTTCGAGCGACGTCTTTGAGCCAACAATCGAATAACTAGTATTATTATACATATAAATGCAAATTGGCAGTCGGGATATTTACGCTAATGGAAAAATATAATCGCTGAGGCTTCGTGCCCCTCCTCTCCCAGGCTTTCTCGGCGTCTCTTTTGCATCCGAGTTTCCGGTTACTTCTCTCTTCCCTCGCCTATTGCTTGCGCTAACAGAATGGCCTATTGTTTCGGAAGAGAAAGTTCCCCGGGAAGAAAGGCGGAATCGAAGAAAGGGGCTGCTCTTCTTTCTCCTTTACATTAATTCGCCTGTCCACTTTCACTGTTATAATTTTCCCGGGGTTCCCTTGCCTCTTCTTTCCTTCAGCAGCGGTTCTTTTCAGGGAGGGTTTTTTCTTCCCCAGGACTGAATCTCTTTTTCGCAAATTTCGTTGCCGGGGTGATTGTTCTTCGAGGGATCTCCGTTTCCCTCCATCTCGCCATTGTTTATTGGTAGAGTCCCGGATCAAGATTTTCGCCCATTGTCATTTTTGTTTAGCCTCGAGTCCAGGATTGGGGAAAATCAGGATTTCTAGGGAATTACCGAAAAATCATTGTCAACCCTTCGCGCCGACTGGAGAACCTTTACACCCCATTTCCACCCTCGGATTGACATTCTGGCAACCACTTTATTAAGCGGCCCTTAACGTCGCATTAATTAGGGAACTTTCCAGCATTAGGGCCGTTTAAGTTATTCACTTTTGTCGAACTGAAAGTCCTTTCGTTTACACCCACCCCCGTTTCGGCACTTTTCCCGGAATTTCTGACGAAATAAACCCTATCCCATATTCAGTGGGCAAAATGGGAGGGAGATTGACTTTTCTCGCTTTCCTTCTACCCTTAAAAGCAGCCCCAAATTGAAACCGGGACAGTAGGAAATTAAATCGCCCTTCGATAAAGGGATGAACCCTGCGAAGGACCTCGCGAAGAGGCTGAATTTCTGGAGAGATGCGAAATCGCGTTTCTACCCGGAATTTTCGGGAAATAAAAGGAAAAACTCACCGCGCGATAGAATCAAGGGGCGAATCCACCCGGAAACGCGGAATCGGGGTGCTTCCGAAAGAATTTAAAAGCGGCTTAAAACCGCCGCGTGTCCCTTTCATTTTATTGTCACCGTAAACGTCCGGCCAGGATTACATTTACTTCCATTTTGATTCCTTCAGGACCTCTCTCCATTATGACCGCCATTCCTACTTTCTTCCTCGAGAAAAATGTTTAAAAGTCGCATTTTTTAAACGCTTCGTTTGGGGAAAAATATTTTCTGTTACGGGGACGGAGGAAAATGGCGGCCGCGAGGGAGGCGGAAATGGCGACCGTGAAGGTGATTTTTTTGGAAGTTTTGCTTTTTTTTCAAGATCGAGCTGTGCTCCAGCTCGTATTAGATTTTATTCATGCGCCCCTTACACACCCTGGGTATGGGGTGAAAACCTGAAGCAGTCGTACCACCCGCTAAGGCGAATTTCCTACCGGCAATAAAAGCGATTTATCGATGCCACAAAATGGCGGCCTCCTTGCTCGGCCTCCCGCGCGCTCGTACTTCATTTTGCCGATATTAAATGCTGTAAATTCGGGTCTCGTGCGCCCCCTCCCCCGAAATAGGGAAAAAAACAGGGCCTCGCGGAAATTCCAGAGGGAAACTCAGCCTTTAAGTCTCTTAAAGTCTCGGTAGCCATTTTTAACTAGCTCTGAAAGAAATAATTCCAACTCAGAGGTCGATCGATCGCGTTCGGCCATTTTAGAAACATCTATTAGAAAATTCAAAACTGAAAATCATCCTACGAGGAGTATCACGAAGAAAAAATTGTTGCATTAAGTTGTGACAAAATTGAGTGAAATTCTTCCTTTCGACGCCCTTCGGCTCGATACGCAACGCAGGGTTGACAGAAATCCATCCGTTTGTCGATCGATCTATCGATGGGTGTCTATAAAGGCGTACAAACGCGTAAACACATAAACGGGGACCTTAAACGGCATTTCCAATCGCCACGACCGATTCCAGGACCTTTGGGACGGATCTAAAAGGACGTCACTCGCCTGCTTCGGTTTAACGAGAAATCGCGCCTCCTCCCTGAGAGCGATCCATCTAATTTTATCTACCCCATATATTTCGGGATGGGTATGTACAGCAGCACATACATGCATTACGTACATGCACGTCGCTACGGCGCGGCCATTAAACAAGCGTATTTCGTCCTGCAGCGTCCTCCTCGGGAATAGAGAGATCCGTCCGCCATTTTGTTCGGATCCGCGGACCGAATATCAGATGTCGAAAAAAAATACACCCTCGGAATGAAAATAATTGACATTATTAATTCCAGTAAGAATACACGAAGTGGTTAAACAGACCTGTGAATCGCACCAGGGGTGGAAAAATGCTTTACATCGCGGCGAATCCCAAAAACGCGAAAACCGGGGAAAGGGACGGAAAAATTCGATAACGCTAAATTATTCGTTCCGGGTAGCACATTCTATTCAAAAGCGGAATTCTGCCCAGCTGGTATCCGGGAACCGAAACGCGAAACTCCAGGAGGGGTGGGAAGGCGAAAAAAAAAAATAAGCACAATGTTTTTGCAGAGGTGGGACTTCGCGGCGTTTAATCAAATTCTGATTGTGATGAAAAATGGCTGGTTTTGCGTTACCATTTCATTTTGAGCTTCGATTATGGCTTCGGAAGCCACCTGCAATGGGTCTGATTAGCGGGGAAGGTTTTGGAATGAAAATGGGAGATTTTGGGGAGATTTTTTAGGGGGAGAGGGGTTGTAGCGTTAGCGATTAGCGCGGGTTTATGCCGGATCTCACCCCAGGATGAGGGGCAGTTGGCAACCCTCGAGACCGAGTAATGAAACCTTGGCTCGCATTTGGTCGACGACACTTTGGAGGCGGCCATGGCGTCGCGTTCCCGGTTAAGACGATGCCGAAACGAGATAGGGGTGTAATGGACGTTAGGTTCGCCCCCGGTACGAGACATTGAATTAAATGGGGTGGCCAGCAGTTACATTTCCTGGAAAGCGGCCCCAAGGCCTTTAACGATTTCAGTCACGTATCCTCCACTTCTCTCCCAACCCTTTCCCTAGCCAACCCCTATTTATCCCCCTCCTGTACTGAGTCGTGTCCGTCACGAGGTTGCCGAATCCCAACGCACCTCCGAAATGATCCCCGGGTCCATTTTTATACCCTGAAGAGCGCTGGACTTGAAAAATGATGAGGCATGTCCCGTAAATCGATCGTGAGATCGGTGGTCACTTGATTTTCTCAAGTGAAGTGGAGGTGAGATGATGAAGTTGGTGTTGACTATGAAGACGATGATGAAGACGCTTGTTTTTGGTGGTGGGCGGTTCATTCTGGGATACTATAAGGGGTATCGTGGTCCCTCTCTGTTTCGATCTTGAAGAGGTCCCACCGACAAGATGGCTGAGTTGTTCGAGCAGTCATCCATTTCGCTCACGAGGGATGATGAATTGAGCCGAAGACGACCTTCCGGTAGTTTCGATGCAGCATCTTGCGGAGCTCCTCCGAATGGACGCTGTCCCTCGTCTCGCAGACCACTTTGACCTCGACGCTGAAGATGTCCGACATTATCCAGGCGCGCTCGTGCATGATGTCCTTGATGGAGACGCCGATCTCGGCCAGCATCCTGCAGAGCTCGGCGATCCCCCCGGGACGATCGGACACCGTCACGCTGAATTTCAGAAGTCGTCCTTCCGCAGCCAGACCTCGTTCGAGACACCTGCCCAGGATCGTGGTGTCGATGTTGCCACCGCATAGAGGGATGACCACCCTGGAGAGAGACCAACAACCTCATCCCAGCTCGAAACGGAACCAACGATCTCGAACTCCCACCAAGCAAAATCGATGTTGATCTTGATTATCGCAACACTCGAGTATTTAAGGCGATGAGAAAGTGGCATGAAGGAATTCTCGTTTATAAAACTTCTCCTAGCTGGGTGTACCGAATCGTTTCGACCTCCATAACATCAATATGGAAGAATCTAAGGAAGGTCTCGATACGCATGAAATCTCCATTTTCTTTTTACATTTCTTGCACGCATTTATTTTTTTAATTTGTCTTAACATTCAAATTTTATAACTGCCAGGACCTTCCTCACAGCCTCCGCGATCACGAGTTGAAGTTTCAAATGATTCGGTGCACCCAGCTTTGAGAAAAGTTTTATATATATTTTGACGTTTCGAGGTATACAGAATGGCCCTTTCATATCCCCTTAAGATCAATTTTGCAGATCACCATAGAAGACATACCTCTTTCCTTTCAACTCATCCAACTGCCCAGCCAGGATAGCCGCCAACCCGGTCGCTCCAGCCCCTTCGACGATGCACTTCTCGTTCTCCACGAGTTTCAAGATGGCGATGGCGATCCACTCCTCCTTGACGACGACCATTTTATCGATAAGAGGGTTGGCCGTGGCGAAAGCATTGTATCCGACCATGGGAACCGCCAAACCATCGGCCAAGGTGGACTCAATGGTGGTGTAGGTTGGCCTGCCGGACTCCCTGGCAGCGGTGAAGCTGGCGCATCTCTCGGACTCCACCCCCTGAAGAGGAGCGGAGATTCGGTGATCCTAAGGGTTCCTAGGCTCCCATGGGTATCCAGAGCTGGTCGGTACTCACGATGACGGTCACGTCGGGGTATAACGTCTTCATCGCCAGAGCTACCCCAGCAATTAGGCCACCTCCACCAACCGGTACCACCACTGCGTGGATATCCGGGACCTGCTCGACCACCTCCAATCCCAGCGTGCCCTGGCCGGCCATAATGTCCGGGTGGTCGTATCTGCGGGAAGATAAAAGGATCTCTCCTTGGGTGTCCGAGTCGTCTTTCTCCGCTAAACGGATTAACGAGCGGCACCGAGGCGTTCTCCAGGGACCAGGTGCCCCAGCTGGGAGGTCGAGTCTCTCGGATTAATTTTGCAAGGAGTCCCTTTTCGAACTCCCTGGAAAGCCTCCGGCCTCGGACCAGTCTTGTCGATTGTCGCATTTTAGGTCGTTTCGTATTTGCATACCCGGTACCGCATGCCCGGCGCACTCCGCCCTTAAACGACCTGACGATTATGGACCGATCGCCCGTAATGGGCACGTAGCGTTAATGTCGTCCGCATGGAAATTACTTGTTTGCACGTGGGTACGTGTCCGTTGGACGCTATCGCCCCGTAATTGTTGGGATATTGAAATTCAAAGGGCGCCGCGAAAAGGGGACGCGCTCGCCCGGAATCCGCGCTGCATGTCGATGGCCCTTCGATCAGCGGCCGCCATTTTTTTTTTCCAGTGTTTGGACGGATTTTCGGGTTTTTATAAAATTCGGGGACTATTGTTGGCTTTCCTACATACCCGTTTATGTATGTTAGTCCTTTCTCCTTTGCCAGCTTAAGGGCGATGCGTTTTGCTTCTCCCATTTCCGCGCCCTTCACCACCACTTCCGCTCCGTATTGTCTGCACGCCGCGATCTTCATGATCGGCGCCAACACTGGCATCACCACCGTCACTGGAATCCCTAGGGTTGATCCATGGTAGCATAAAGCCAGGGCATGGTTCCCTAGGGATGCCGAAATCACCCCTTTGCTTCTCTGCTCCTCCTTCAGCATCACGAGGGCATAACGGGCGCCCCGCTCCTTGAAGCTTCCCGTCGTCTGCAGGAAGTCCATCTTCAGGAAGAGGTCCACTCCCGTCATCTTGGACAGTCGGGATTGCTGAAAAATTGAATTCGTTAAAAATTGAATTTTTTTATTATAGTATTACCCGTCTTCAGGTAGTTAATTATCAGATCAGGGCATCTTGATTTGAAATCGCGATTGGTGCAGGTTTAAATTGTTATCGAATCGTTCTTTTTTCATTAATAGCAAGTGTCGAATCATTTTTTTTTTTTAATAGCAGCCATCGAACCATTTTGTTTTTAATAACAGAAATCGAACCGTTTTTGTTTTCCAGAAAATTATTCATTATGAAGAGATTGTATGGGAAAATTTAAGGATTTACCGTGCAAGGAGTCTTGATAATCCCGCCCTTGATTTTGAAAGCAGCCGAGGTGATGTCCTCGAAGGTGATCTTCTGAGGATTGTCCTCGATGCAAAAGGGATCCTGCAGATCCCCTTCGTCCCCATTTTCCTGAAAAGCAAGGATTACCAAACCTCGCGAAATTTCTTCACTTTTTTTAATTAAATTGGCACTGTTTTTCTTTTTTATTATAATTACGCCGGTCACCCCCGCGAGTGCAGAGTCTTCGCCGGTAAACCGAGAGGATGATCCCTGAAGTGTGGAGGAACCTGGACCATCTGACATTTTGTTAATATCCCACATCTAAAACTACGCGAACTTGAATGCGCACACTGAGAATTGGCGATTTTAGTTTAATAATATTATTGAACTTCCCTCTCCTCCAACTCGCACTCGACGCAACCGCTCTCGTTATCAAACTCCGCGATAACCCGTTGACCTGTTCATTAGTTACGCCAAACTTGCAGCTAATTTAAATAAATCGCGCCGTTTGTGCGAAAAGAAGCACTCCTTATCTATTTTGCCGTCGACTAAGCGCCAATTTGCAATCGGCCGCAATCCCGATACAATGCAATTTTTCCACCCGAGGTTTAAAGACTAGAAATTGATAAGCGATTGTTTTTCCCCTCGGCCAAGATTATTGAGGTTGGCTGGAATTTTCCTCGTGGCGATTTAACACCACTGGATATTAAATATGAAATATTTTTTAAATATGAACCGTGGAAACCGAGAAACTTACCAGAAACTTATCGGCGTTGAACTCCAAATTGTACGACCTCTCCTCCATGGCAATTTTCGAAAACGACTCGTAGCCTCGATGAGCAATCCTCAAGTGGTGTCTGGCTAGAAATATCTCCGTTAAAGTCTGATAACCTCCCAAAATCCCTGATAAAATACCTCCGAATTCGACCTACTACCGAATGATCTGGCACAGATTAGGAGGCCTCTTCAGCAATGATAAAGGCCTCTTCAAAGTCTCCAACGTTTCGAGTTTGGACTCTTCCTCGAGATAAGTTTGTTGTGGCGGGGTTCTTCACGGTAATCTTGTAATTAGCCTTCCGCTGATTATAATGTTTGTTGAGGAAAGCTAGATAATTTCCGGCCTTCGTTGCAAAAGAGTCTCGACTTTTGGCTGGAATTAATTGAAGCTTTTTCCCGGATTCCGGAGATGGTCGGGATAAGGCACGGAAGTGGGTATGCACTCGTTTGGAATGCATAGAAACGCCTCGGCGGAACTGCTAGCCGGTGTCCGCGTGCACTTGCAGTTGCAGTTGCCCCCGCAAGCGAGTGCGCTGACACGAGCGAGGCTGTTCAATTTGCATATGCACTCGCGGCCTACCGTATCGCATATTGGCCGTGGCCAGGATCTTGCATCTGGATATGCACATGCAAAAAAGACGGGGACCCTCGCTGCAGCTGCAGGCAATGTCGTCTACCCTCCGGGTGGAAACTGAAAACTCGGGTCGCGAATCGCACCTGCGAATTCTGAGATCGGATGCACTTTCCATTCTGAACGTTGATTCCGTTAAAGAGGGAAAAATTGCCGTTCGAACTGAAACTTCTATTTTTATTTCCATGGCACTTTAAACGTCTCGATACTAAGCGACAAAAATTAATGAAAGTAGTAATTAAAGCAATGTAAAAGTGATCTCAAAAAGATCTCGTTCATAAGACTTTTTTGCCGAACTGAGCGTGCCCAATCGCGTCAAACTTTACAACGTGAATATGGAAGCCATGACGAGTCTTGACACTCACGAAATTTTAATTTTTTGTAAATTTGTTTATTAACAATCTATATATTTTTTATAATAAGTGAAATTTCATGAGTATCGGGACCTTCCTTATAGCCTTCATATTCATGTTGGAAAGTTTCAATCGATTCGCTGCATCTAGTTCGATGAAAAGTTTCATAATCGATTGGCTCCTCGGATGCCACTTTCACATCCCCTTAATGTACAGACAAATACCGCAATGGCATAAGATGTTTCACTTCAAACAAACGTTTTGCCACCCTGAAGAGGTGGACGAGATGCCTAAATTAAGAGAGAAAAAATGTACTTTTAATTGTGGAAACAGGTATGACTAGATACATAAAATCCAAGCATTGACAAATCCCCCTTCAAACACCTTGAAGTAGTGCGAAGGTGAACTTAGGTTCGTCTCGTAAAAAAGGTCCGGTTCAGCCGCGATATTTACAGGTTTAGGGTCCTTTTTTATTTACAAAAGTACGAGGGGGTCGTCACTCGACGAAGACGTAGGGAAGAGGCATCGCTTTCTAAGCGTGACTTCAGGATGCTCCTGTGCTCCTGCTGCTCTCGACTATCCTCCTCCTCTCCTTGAGCAGCTGCAGAAACCTCGCCTTGGGGCTTCCAGGATATCTCGGCTTGTCCCTGACACCAGAAATCCCATCCAGAGACTCCACGCTGGCGGCGACAGCTTCGCTCGAGCTGGAGCTGTCGTAGATGGACTCTGTCCTGCACAAGCATTCCCGGGGACAGCTCTTCCAGTTCTTCCAGCTCTTCCAAGTCTGACACGGAAGTCCTTTGACCACCCCAGCCACGGGCATCGACAGTCGCAGGGAACAACTCGGAGTCCTGAGTCCTTCCAACTCATTTTCCAAAACTTCACTACCAGGGAACTTCCGACATCGCACCCCAACGGACCCCATAGAATCGTCCGCACAAGTCCCCGCAGATCGATCCTCCCCGAAAGGATCATCCACGCTCTGGGAGGACTCGCCTAGGTCGCTGCAAGTCGAGTTTTCGGGTCGATCTTCGAGTCTGCGGCGAATTTTCGAGTAGCATCCAGGATTCCTGACCCTGAAGTCCGACATCTTCATCCCACGCCTTGATTTCCTTCTGGAGACCCTCTTACAAGGATCACTGGCGCTGATCAGGTACTGGTAGATCCGCTCTTCAAGGTCCTCCATGCTCTGGTCCCGCCTGCGGTCTTCGTCCTTGTTCGAGTCGGTGGTTGCGACCTCCTCGCTGCACCTGATCCTGGGATGAACGGTGCTTCTTCTGGTCCTGGGACTGTTCGGCGACTTTCTGGGTGTGGGAGGACGATGGAACATCGACGCGTTGTTCTCTAGCTTCCTCCGATCTGGACTGGTACCCGCTAACCCTAATTTAGCGCCAGCAGACCCGACTTCGACGCCATATTTTTCTTGCAGATGACGGTTGTGTCGCTCGATGTTGCCGATGCAGCTCTCCAGCCTCTTGATGCTCTTCAGACAATTTTCGTAGGACTCTGTCGAGATGACGAGGGCGTCTTCGTCGTCTTCCGAGATGTCGATGTCATCGTTCAGGCTGATTCGCTGGCCTTGGCACACGATGTAGTCGAGGTCACACTCATCCGAGTTGCAGTGTTGGTGGTCCATCCGACAAGTCTCCAGCATCTTCGAGGCACTCATGTACTCGTTTATAGAGTTCATGTTGCGCATGAAGGCGATCGCCTGATCAAGGTACTCGGCGAGGACATTGGAAGCTCCTGGGAGATCTTCGTCATCATCTTCGGCATCGTGTTCGACGTCTTCCCTGTCTTCACCCAAATTGTCTATTTCTCCCTTGGATATCCTATCTCCCCTTTTAGATTTCTCCTCGGCTTCCAGTTCCTCCGAACCTTCCATCGACCCAGAAATTGACTCTTCAGCCTTCTCTTCAAGACCTTTAGGCACCTCAACCGACTTGCGGTTCGCATTCTTGATTATGGACTTTGGAGTCGTAGCTTTGGGACTTTCGGAGCAGTTCTGGCCTTCCTCGAATATGTAGCAGTTGGAGAACGAGACCTTCTTCTTGGTTCCTGATGCGTTGGACTCCGTTGGCTCTGATTTTCTTCTCTTGTAATCGTCGTCTTCAGCGTCGACTGACAACGCTCTGCAAGCTCCCAGGATGAGCGACTCGTAGTCGTGCACCCGGGTATCGTTTAACGTCGGTTTTATTCGCGGAAAGTCAACCTGGTTGTCGTCAAAGTCCCGAAGAATCGACACTTCGGCTTCTTCGGCAGCATTTGATGACTTTTTTGTCTGAGCCACCACGTCAGGGGGGCAGGGAGTCTCTTCGGAAGCCTCTTCAGTTACCACTTTCGCGACCGTGTGGTCAAACTGCAGATTTATCTCGTTTAAATCTAAACTATCGTCAGAGAAGTTCTGGTCCTGATCGGAGGAGTCCATCTTGGTGAAATGACAGGCTGTCTTCGACGTCTCCGACGAGTTCTGGAAGGAATGCTCCCTTGCAAAAACTTCAACCATGTCTGTTTCGAGTGGAGTTGCTTTGCCATCGACTTCAACGACTACAAGGTTCTCCTTCAGGGGTGTCTTCAAAAACACCTGGGGGTCAGTCCAGGTGATCATGCGCTCGCCCAATCCATCATCGATCTTCGCTTCTATCAAAGACATGGGTTTGATCGTGCTCTTCAATTTGCTAGGATCCCTAGGAACCGGAAGTGAGTCCAGAGGAGAGTGCATTCTTTTACTTGGACTCAAACTCCAGCCTCGGTTCCTGTCATCTGATCTGACAGTGTCGGATATTTTCTCCTCACTTCCGGTGCATGCAAAGTGAAGTCTACCTTCTTCGGGATTCTCCATGTCGGTGCTGCTGTCCTTCGTCTCCGGGACGAAGGAAACCCCGACAGACCTGGTGAAAATGATAGATTTCTCCTCGCTTTTCAGCCCAGTCGTGACATCGGACCTTGCAGACTTGGAACGACCACCCCTGGGATCCTGGAAAATATTCTCGATCCTGAAGGGCTTTCCATCAGTCTGCTTGGACCCATTCGCGAAGTCCTTGAAGAAGATCCCAACTCCTTGCTCCGTCAGAATCTCCCTATCCACAGGGTCCTTCCTACTCTCCTCTGTCTGAACTTCCGCATCCTTGAACCCCCTTGACCTGTCAACCCCCACATCATGATTCTCCATCACCGCAATCCTGGACTCCAGGAGAGTGGGCGACTCGATGGTGATACTGATGGTGTCGGGCAACGAGATCGAGATGACGCTCTTATCGACACCCACAGAGTGCACATCCTTAAATCGACAGCACTCATGATGCACCCTGTTGCAGCAACGCCCACTGCAAATGTGATCACACTTGCCCTCCTCGTCTCTAACCCCCTTGTCCCTGAAGACCCTCCCTCCAGGGATCCCAGTGTTAGTTGAGCTCTCGGCAAACTCCACACTTCTCCTATCAGTCCTAGCTTCCGTAAATGAATCCACAATTTCCACACTGGACAAATTACTCTCCGCATAGTTCTGGGTGTCGTCGGAAAGGATCCCGGAGTCATTCCTAGGAGAGTGGGACCGTCTTTCGTAGTCCTCTTCCTCCTGGTCCAGGACACCATTCCGCTCATCGGTGATGCTAGCCACGTCCTTATAACGAACTGCCGATCTCCTCCTCTCCGTCAACGTGGCCATTTCCTTCACCCTAAGGACGGGACTCGCGTTTCCTGACAATCCACCACAGTCTTCATGGCTGTCCGTCAGGACTCCGATTTCTCGTCGCAGAATGGACGGACTGTCCGTCAATGAAGCCGTGTCTTTGACCCTGAGCGTCCTGCGATTGTCCGTTTGAGTATCCACGCAGATCTTTCTACGGCGGGCCAGCATCTTCCTCGAGATCTCCTGAAGACGCATCCTGGTAGCCGCGGCCAGCTTCACGTCAGAGCTCTCCGGTGAGCGGATTTCTGAGGATGCCTGAGGGTTCGCCGTGGTGCTGCTGGGGGTCTCGTCAGAACTCTTCTTGGTCGTGTAGAGCCGTTCCGTCACAGCCGCGACGATTTCGCGGCGGTTCAGACGTTGGATGGGAGTGTGCGCCCGGGGGGAAGGACTCTCCTGGTCCAGGGATCCTTTCCTTTGCAGGAGCTTCTCCCTGGATGAAGAAATGGAGTTCAATACCGGGTCCTCTCTGGAGCTGCTGGAGCTGCTGTCCTTGCTGGTCTTCCTCTTGATCTCCTCCACGCTCTGCTTCCTAGCTAAGGTCTTCGGCTTCGATGACGAAAACACCCCGTTCTCTCTGAGACTCTTGTCGGAGTCGTTGCTGCCCTTCCTTTTTAGCTCCTTGTTGCTGCTCAGGGCACGCCACAAGCTCGTCCTTGTAGACCTGGGGTCCTCGATCTCCCTGATGTTGTTCAGCCTCTTCGTCTTCTCCGCAACTGGAGAACGAGGCTGCTTGTCCACCACAGGCTGCGCCTTGCGAACCGGGCTGATGGGCTCCCTCTTTTTCTGCAAAGCCTCCACGGATCCGTACTTCTTCGAGGCGTGCAAGTTGGTTTCCTTGCGAGAGGAACTGACACAGTCCACGGAGTCCTGCTTGCTGAGGCGAGGCTTCCTGAAGGCTGGCCTTACCCTAGAAGACGCGGGCTCGAGCTCGGCTCTGTCTTCAAGGACTCCGCCAACCCCTGAGATTGATCCTTCGAGGTGGGTCTCGGGATCTTCCAGGTACTTCCTCTCTTCCAGCTCCTTATCCTCTTCGAGATCCACCTTCTCCTGAAGCAACGTCTCTTCGTCCCTCGAAATCGATGAAGAGGACGAAGCTGGGACCTCGGCTGGCTCCGGACTCTCCAGAAAATCTGCGTCAATGGATCCTTCGGGGACCTCGTCGCTGCAGATCTCCTCGATCTGTACCCTGCCTTCTCCAGGGTCGTCGTCTGGCTTTATCAACACCGCCACCAGCGTCGGGATGTCCACGAAGACCGGCCCCTTGACCTCCTCTTCGTAGCACAATTCCGAGATCCTGGCCCGGCCGTATCTTGGCAGGTCCAGGACTCCCCTCGAATTAACGAGTTCTAAGGATCCACATCTCCTGATCGAGTTCCTGGACTCGATGCTTCTGTCCAAGCTCTCGCTGGAACTGCACTTCCTGATCGAGTAGAATTGTCCTGTCTCGCTGCTATTCTTATCCTGCGTGTCCTGCGCGTCCTCCTGGTCCTGATCTTCAACGTTCCTCAGGGTCCTCATGCAGCGGCACGGCTCTCTCTTCCCTGAATCGCTATCCAAATTCTGGAACGCCCGGAAATTAATAGTATATGGGAAATGATTGTTTAAAAATTTAATTTTTATTTTAAAAAGGCTTTTCCGGGGTAATTACCTTTTCCGACAGCAGACTCTTCAGACGGGCCACTTCTGCCCTCAACTCGCGGATGATCCTTGCGACAGGATCCTCGTTAATCACCGGTCTGTTGACAACGCTTTGTGCTCTCTGAGCAAACCGCAGAGTATGTGCAGTTTCGTTGTAACTTCCACTGGCTGGAGAGATCGCTGAAATGCAAATTTTCGTTCCTTTATTCGGGAAAAACGGATCCTTCATCTCCAGGATCTAATCACTCGGGAATTCTAACATGTCGGCGTCTACGTTCTACTACACTGAGAAGAAAAAATCCATTGAACCAAGGAAATATTTCTTTGAACAGTACCAAAGAAGTATTTTGTTAATTCAAAGAATAATTATTTGACTCAGATAAACTGAAATAAATTGTCATAACTAAGAAGATACTCTGCATCCAATTTATTCCAGTTTGAGTCAAATTCGTCGAATTAACAAAATGTTTTTTTGGCTCAATGACATTCTTTTTCTCTGTGTAGACATTGTTCACGGGTTGCTTCAAAAAGCTCTAATTATTAGTGTCCTGGTAAGGACGTGTATGTACATTGCGCACTTTGTGCAATTCTTGGCTTGCTAACTTTTACTAGGCAGCGAGATTTCCTTCTCCGATCTTGAAGAGATTGGGACTGGGTATTATTTATTTTGTTTTAATTTTGGGAATTTTATAAGTGATTTATATTGAGTGCCAAGAGGAGGGGGAGGTGTAAATAAAAGTCGAAGAGCGAAATCTCGGCCTCGCTTTCGCTTCTTCTCTCTCGAGATGATCTTTATCAAGCCCACTACGTGTCTGTTTCTAGTTATCAATCCCAATTCTACGTTCTACCTTGTTTATCGAATTTTAATCTCCGCGGGTTAGCCTCTCTGGAAAAGCAACAATCCGATTACTTTGGAGGCTTCGATGCCAGTTTACTGCGGATAACGTTAGTACGATGATAACGTGAGATAGTGCGCTGAAAAAGAAAAATTCACTGAACCAAAGAAGTATTTTTTCTAATAGTACCAAAGAAATATGTTTTTCATTCGAGGAATAACTATGTGGCCCAATTTATTCGATTTCATTCGAGTCAAATAATTATTCTTTGAATTAAGAAAATATTTCTTTGGTACCATTCAAAGAAATAATTCTCTGGTTAATTGAAAATCTTTTTTTTTCAGTTCTGGAGGAATGCTCCCAAGATTTTTAAAATACAGCAGAACGTTTGATTGTGGCCTAGGTAGCATTCCTCGATTTTGAAAAAATTGTGAATTTGAGGATAGTGGCAGAGAAAGAATTTTCACACTCACTAGCGAGCACGATTGTGGCCGCGTTTCCACCGAGGGCGTCCTTCAGCAACCACGTCAGGGCCGAGTCCCTGTACGGGATGAATCTTCTTCCGGGACCACTTCCGGTGGCGCCTCTCTCCGCAAGGGCGGAAATTACGTTTCCCAAGGCTACCAGGCTTTTGTTAATATTAGCGCCTTCCTAGAAAACGAGAAATTAAGGTCCAAAAGATCCGCTTCTGGGTACCACTGACGGATCCTGCAGGATTGAGCTGACCATCGGTTAGGGTAGGTCAAGGTTCCATTCTTCAAGAAATTCGGTTATCATCAGACAATCAGAAATAAGCTTTCAGACATTTAGGTTTCAGGTCGATCCTTGTCAGATCGACCGTAAATTCTCTAAGAAATTAAATTTATGACAGAGTATATACGTTCTGAGATGATCATCAAGGATCCGTTCTCCAGGAAATTTGGTTCCCCACTATTCCTCGCAGGACACATCTCGCTCTTTTTCGACCAAGTCTCGTTTCTTTTCGAATTAGAGCACCTTCTAAGGAACCTTTACTCGTGGAGTAAGCCGTGGTTGGAATCGATCCTCGGATTCGGAATCGCGGCCGTATTTTTAGCCGGTGACTCACCTTCAGCCGATGAATCCCAGTGCACGTGGCGGCACTCTCGCTGCCCGCCAGATCGACCAGGTGCAACTTCCTGCACCGGGGTTGCTGTCCTGATCTCTCCAGGACAGGAGCCACCCCCTGCATCTGCTGATCCTTCGAAACAGGCCAGAGGGAGATGGTGATCAACGAATGGCTGCGACTGCTGGTGGGGTTCTGCTGGGTGGCGGCTGTCTTCCTGGCCCTGGTGCCCTCCTCAACGTAGGACATCAACGAGCTCAGATCATCGACCACGTGCTGAGTCAATCCTGCAGGATTAAGGGATGAGCTGAGGAGAACGACCAGGATCAACGACAAATGACATGTGCCAGGTCGACCCTGCAAATCACAGCGATGGACTGCTGGCTGGGTACTATCCTGATGATGCTGCTCCAGTTTGTCTCGATTACTCTGATTTACCTCATCGCCAGAGTCGTCCGATTAATTAAGGATTAACCGAGATAGACCGTCCAGCACAATTGCACCAAGCGAGTTCTACACCCTGAACTAGGAGCCCCTCTTCAGGGTCGAGCTACGTTGAGAAAGAAAGTGTTGGTTCGCTGAAAGAAATATGCATTGCGGCAACAAATAACGTCCAAAGAAATGTTAAATCGAGTAAGTAAAATTCATTTGAATAGACATGAACTTTTTCTTCTCGGCGAAATAATTATTTCTTGCAGCTATATATGATTCAGGCAATAATATACATATTTGTTTCAGTCGAGTCATTTTTCTTTCTCGGTGCACTGCTACAGTTTCAGGATCAGGTGAATTCTAGGGATCCAGGGGTAGGGTCCTAGATCAGGATTAAAAGTATAAAGGGAATATGAAGCCGAAAAGTGAATACAAGTCCCACCTTGAACATATGGTCCTAGTTTAGGATGCTCGCGCACTCTGAGTCCACTGCTACTGCTCGCACCCTGAGGAGTCCTCAGCAAGTCTCGTACCCTCTCGTTGTACACCTCGAGGTAGCTGAAAATCGCGAGATCAGCGATTATTACAGGTGTGATTATCCTGTCACGACCAGGAGCGAAATTGCACCTACAAAATCTCTTCATAGACTGGCAAGGACGGTGGAGGATCGATCGCGGATTCGGGAGCAAGGCCTCGATTCCAGAAGAAGAACCGAACGCGTATCGAATTTTCCGCACGTGCGGAAAATTGCTAATTTCGAGGTTTCCTTTAAACGGGAGGGAATTAGCTGGTAAGGGATTTTCTAAAAATTCTCCAAGGAGTAGTTCGACGTTCCCGATACTCGCCGTTCCCACTCCTCGCCCCCGCACATCTAATTATGCGATTATCCCATTTCCGCAAAAGTCTCTGCGCGGCATAAATCGAATTAGCGACTGTCAGCTCGACCGTGTCGCTCGTTGCCCTAAATCTCCATCTTTCCCCGCGTTCCTCCACAAGGCTTCGAGGAGAACGATGTTTACTGCTGCATTCCCAAGGGGTGAATTATCGCTCGATGTTTCGCGCGTCCATTTGCAAATCAGATGTCTCACCGTCGAAAACGGGGGGAAAAGTCGGACCCCCGAAATCCACGCCTGAGGGCGCGGCGGAAATGAGAAAATCGACTTAAGAGCTGCAGTTGCAGGTGCACCAGAGATCGGAACTGGCGCCACCCCTTTTCGCAACCTTGACACCCCCCAAGGCCCTGGCTGGTAATATCCTTCAAGGTGGAGGGATGCGGCACCGCGGGAATTGCGTTCCACGCGTTTCGTTTCCGCCGATCGAAGCCAAACTCGCGGAAAACCGGCTGATCGCCGCGGGAAATTGCCCCCTGATTTCGCGACCTCGGGTATCTCTAATTGCGCCGCGATTAGGCCGAGCTAACTTTGCGCACTTGTATCCGAAATGACGGCTCAGGGTCGCTGCGGAATTTCTGATCGCCTAATGGCCGGAAAGAGCCATACCGTCGATCCTCAAACTGGTACCGACTCTGCAATTATTCCTTTCCAAAGGGACGTTTAAGGTGATGCGAAAGTGGCGGCAAAGAGGTCTCGTTTATGAAACTTTCTCCAAATAGGGGACACTGAATCGTTTCAAGATTCACAAGACAAATGTGGAGATTACAAGGAAGGTCCTGACCCCCGTGAAATTTAGATTTTTTAAAAATTAAAATGAGGGTCAGGACCTTCCTTGTACTCTTCATATTCACTATGTCAAATTTGAAGCGATTCGGTATACCCAGTTCCACTTTCGCATCCCCTTAAGGGTAATGAAACTGAAACTGCTCTTAGAATAACGCAATGGGTCTGGAGCTGGGGTATTTTGTTACACCCGTCGGGATCCTGGGAATTAATTGCGCACCCTTTATTAGAAAGCTTTAAACTTCTCGAGTGCCTTGCACCCTCACACCTCTGCGGGGGGCAAGGGGAGGATGAGACCGTGAAGACAAGAAAACCGAAGCTCGGGGCCGAACCTCGGGCTTTTCGTGTCTGTCGGATATTACGGGGCTCTTAGGAATCGAGGCGAACGTGTAGGGATCGATCTTCACCCCTAAGACCGAAATGGGGAAGAATCGCGCCTCCGCCACGCGACTTAAGAACTTTCGCCCTCCGCGAGCTTTCACGAGGGGGTTGACATGCACCCCTTTAAACGTGAGAATATCGCGCTGTGGGAATCCGAAAATAAAAGAATTCCCTCATCCTATGTCCTCCACGTACCGCGGAAAAATGAAGCCATTGAAAATTAAAACATTAACCCTTTGCATGCGAGGCCATTTTTACATATGGGCAAAATGTACACTAATAAAAATGCCCATGTAAATTTACATACTCAATCATTGGTTCTTTTGATGCCACAATAAATTGCAGTAAAACTACATTGTCTCTGTAATATCAAATTCGGCATCTTAGTAAAATTGAAGAAAACTAAAATGTAATGTTACATCTAATTCAAGTATAAATGCATTAATACGGTAAACATACAATGTTACGTGTATGTACACATTTTTTATGCGTAATGTTTCCATTTTACATTTTTCTATGTAAACCTTCAGTTATGAAGTATGTAAAAATGTATGTAAGTTTCCATCGATTGTTATCAGTAAAAATAACCCACAATGAAGCTTCACCAAAGTCGGCTTATTAATTTTCTATCCTTAACTCATCACTCGCCAAAAGATCCTGACAAATCCCATGAAAATCTCTCGAAATTAATTTCCATGGAATAATTAAGGCATGTTCATAGCTAATGATTTGATGTATTTTCTTTTTTTTTATTGTTTGAATATTGTCGAGGAGAGCTTCTCTAGGAGACATTTCTCCCGATCTCCGCCGTACCATGGAAATGGGAACGGACGGATTTGGGTTAACAGCGGCGTCGCGACGCGGCGTCGCGCTAAATTCGCGTCGCGATGTTTTGACGGTACGCGTGCGTAAGCTCGACTCGACACGCGTGCATGCGTGTGCGCCTTGGGGGATGAATTATGGCCGCTGTAAAAGCGATCCTTAGGGTGGCGACGCCAGCCCTAAGACCGGCGATCGCCGACGTCGCCGATTCGTCGAAAGTCACGATTCCGTTCCCTAAAAAATGCCGGTAAATAATTTTGTACGTCAAACCGCCCTTAAAAAGCAATGAATTAAAAACCAGGAAATTTCGACATGTCGCATCGAAGTGCAGAGTGAAATTCGTTGAGTCACAATCCTAGCATGTAAAAAATGTTGGAAAATAATTTCATACGTGAAACCCTCCTTAAAAGAAAAATGAATTAAAAACCAGGACATTTCGACTTGTCGCATCGAAGTGCAAAGTAAAATTCGTCGAAAGCCATAATCCTACCATCTGAAAAATATTGGAAAATGATTTCATACGTGAAACCTTGCTTAAAAGAAAAATGAATTAAAAACCAGGAAATTTCGACTTGTCGCATCGAAGTGCAGAATGAAATTCGAGCCCCGGGTGGCTGATTGGCGGGGGCGATCAATCGAGCGTTTTCACCAATCCGCTTACGATTACGAGGATCTAATGGGTATTTAACGCAATTAAACGAGGCTCGGGGGTGTCGGGGGAATAACGCGCTCCTCTTCGGGGGCGTATTCCGTCAAAAGCACCGCATCGACTGCGGCCGATAGATCGGCAGAGGCCGAAGATTTAATTCGAAATCGCATTTTCGACTGTACGTAGATCGTACCAAAATTCAAACCCGACCCAATTTTTCTCTGGATTTTTATATCTCCCATGCTGAGTCAAAAAATATAGAGATTCAAGCCAAATACATTTCTGAGCAAGAAACTCTCGTCGAGTGCTGAAAGAAACTTGCGCGTTCGAGGTAGATCGAGAGGCTACCAGGTTCTACCCTGGAAAAAAATTATCATTAAACCAGGGAAATGTTTCTTTGAATGGTACCAAAGAAATGAACAATTAATATGAGGAATAATTCATGTGCCTCAAATCATTATTCTTTAAATTAAAAATACATTTCTTTGGTCCCATTCAAAGGAATATTACACCCCAGGGATCGAGATTTCAGAAGTGAGGGAAATAGAAATACAATTTCCACATTGTTATGGAAAAGGAAATGGACATTCGTAAGAATAGAGTAGAGGGTCAGGGAATCTTTTGATTAATTTTAGCGTTTAGCGTGGTAGAAAAATTCCCCAGGCGAGTGTTAGGGGGTGGAAGATCGTCTCGAAAAACCAGACTTTGCCATATGCCGTTTCCACCCCCTAGGGGTGGACCAGAGGTGCTCGTTAATTAACGAGCCAGGTGCACCCCCTTGCACTTTGCTCACATATAAATCCGGCGCCGTGCATCGGTCCTCGTCCCGGCGCCTCTCAATTGGCGCTCGTGTAACGAGACTAATTCCCGGCGATACGATTTGCGAACAACAGGACTCCCGCAATGACGACGTAATGGAGCATCGTTACACGCCTCGGTACTGTTTCATGCGTAATGAGCTCCGCGCGTACACGGGACGTGTAAATGAACCGAATCGCACGCGAGCGTCCCGGCCCGAGGAGGCCCCGAATCGCGCGGGACCGCGAGTTAAAGAGCGCGATGATGACGCCGGGATTCGTTAAGCGTCTCCACTGGGACTATTAATAATATCCGGGGAAAGTTATTCGCGAGGTAGGTCGGCTCACTTTGAGGCCTGCGCCGAAATATCGCGCGAAATTACTACGCGGCCATCTCTTCTGCGCGAAGCCCGCCTCCTACCTGGAAAAGATAGCGCCTGAAATTTGTTGATATTTTTAATAGGGATTTTTTGCGGGGCAGGGACAATATTAGAGCTCGTTAAAAGTACCCCTTGGGACTATTATTAATATCCGTGGAAAATTATGCCCGAGGTAGGTCGACTCGCGTTGAAATCAGCGCCGAAATATCGCGCGAAATTTCAACGCGGCCATCTCTTCTACCCGGAATCCGCTTGTTCTCTGACGAAAAATGGACCCCTCAATTTTGAGAAATTCTTCAAATTGTCAGCGCAGATTTTTCGCGAAAACTGACAACACAAGATTCCGTTAAAAGTGTCCTTCGGGACTATTAATAATATCCGGGGAAAGTTATTCGCGAGGTAGGTCGGCGCGCTTTGAAGTCCAGGCCAAAATATCCGCGGAAGAGATGTTCTCTCCGGTAAAAGATGGCGCCTTCAATTTTTCGATATTTTCCACGCGGATTTTTCATGGAATGAGAGAACCGCTGGGCTCATCAAAGATACCCTTTAGGACTATTAATAATATCCGGGGCAAGTTATTCGCGAGGTAGGTCGGGTGGCTGAAACATCATTCACCAAAATATCATTCCTCTCCAGTAAAAGATGCACCTTAATTTTCTTACAATTTCCTACCGCCGATTTTGCAAAAATTAATAATAATAGATTCCGACGATTGGTATCTATCAATAGTCGGTGATAAAAGGAAAAAAAAAGTCTGAAGGTCGGGGATGGATTCGATCCCTGGACCCGGCAGTCTGGAATAGATTCGCGAATGCCGGATGGGAGTTGCGGAGGTGAGACTGAAAGTGCGGCAAAAAGCTGGACTGAAGTTGCGGGGAGTGCAAGGAAGGCGGAATTAAAACGGAAGGGAGGGCGAGGAAAGCGCGCCGGGAAAACAAACGCAGGAGGAAGAGAGAAAGAGGTAGAGATAAAGATAGCGGCAAATGGAATTAGCGGCGAGCGCGTTTCGAGCGGTTTAAGGGAAGAAGGGTGGAGGAGGGTAGCAGAGGGTGAAAGGAGGCCTCGAATGAATTTTCCAACCCTTGGAAGAGTTTTCTAGCATTTCCGGGTGATGACCCCCCGACAAGTTGTCACCGCTATTAAGACAACCGAATCTTATTAAACTGGATGAAATTCAGTCGTAAAAATATGATTTTTATCGCCAAACCGTATCATCGGTCGTTTCGCCAATAAGGAAAACTTGGCAGAAATAAAGGAGAATACTTAGCGACGTCATTGTCGGTGAACTTTTCGAGCGTTACGATAAACTCCGAACCGCGGATATCGTCGAGGCGACGCTCGTTAAACGGCCGGATAATCGTCGAAATTACGAGGCCACGCTAATGCGATCAATTGGCACTCGCGCCTCGTTACCGACCGGATGTAAAACAACAATCCGCGGATTTTATATCCGCCTCCTGTTTGCGCCCATGAATGCCCAATGCGAACGAAGCCTGGGTTCACCCGCGGTTTGCGACTAATTACACGCGGGGTACTTACACGCCTAACTGCGAGGTGTCCGTTAATTACGATGATCTTCCGTTCTCGTTCCACATGTCCGGCCGCAAAAGCACTGGGAAGGCTTCGACTCGTCCCTGACAAAGTTTCGCCCAATGATTTCCGTTAAAAGTCGGCCCTGGATTACGAGCTTACTTTGTAACGCTAATTATCGCAAGACCTTGGGCTTAAGGTGATGTGAAAGTGGCGTCAAAGAGGTCTCATTTATAAAACATTTCCCCGAGTTGGGTGTAACTAGTCGTTAGAAACTTTACAATATGAATGAGAAGACAACGAAGAAAGCCCTGACACTCATAAAACATCAATTTTTAAACATTTTTCTATGGACAATTAAAAAATTTGTTTGTAAAAAAAATGAAATTTTATAGGCGTCAGGATCTTCCTTACAGCCTCCGTATTCACGTAGCAAGGTCTGAAAAGATTCGGTACATCCAATTCAGAGAAAAGATTCATGAAGGATTGCCCCCTTAGGTACGACTTTCACACCCCCTTAATATCCAACGCAGTGCGCAAGCGCGGGCGAAACGTGCAGAAAAAATAGATCCCCTCCTCCGAAATCTGCGAGATTGATTTCCAGAGATCCAGCCGGAGATTTCTGAGAGAGCCAGAGATTCCTGAGATCAAAGGAAAAACCTCCGAAGCCCAGAATCCCGAGCTTGGAGCACCAAAATGGCGGCCGAAGCCATCCATCACGCGTTCACCATGAGGCGAGGCTCGTTAGATAGGTGTTCCAGATCCAGGAGAACAAACAATCGGCCAAGCGATGAACCGTCACGATCCATCACTCCCCATTCATCGTGGGGGCTCATTTGTTCCGCCCCTTGCCCCCCGGAACAAACAACCCCCGTGGCGGGAACTGTCCGGCCGGAGCCCCTGCCCCCTCCCCCGGGGTCGCAGACACTTAATCGCGCTTAATTCAGCCGACTCGGCAAAATCCTGCTCAATTTCCTCCCCCCCCCCGAAGCTCGCAAGCTCGGCCATTCCGCGAGGTTAGCCCCGCTCGCCCCACTTAACGATTTTACGTCCGCGACCGACATATTTTACCGAACTTAGTCCGCGAACTTCGGCCCGCCGTGAAAGCTCGTTCCTCGATAGACGATAAAGCTGCCGCGGAGGATCCCCCGGCAATATCTCAAAAACGCCGAGGTTCGCGTCTCACCTTTCCGTCGAGCACCTCGAGCTTCGCCCCGAAAAGCTCCCCTCAAAGCCGCGGTAGAGGACGAGCTTTCGGGGGCAGCCGATCTCAGAATTCCTCGAAGAGTCCGAGAGACGAGGTTGGACGGGCTGTCGAACTTTCAAGGATTGACGGGATTTTTTTAATAATTTCCAGGGGGAGCTTGCGGATCGAAAGCTCGCGGACCAGGGGACGCCTTACCGGGCCGACGAGCTTGCGTCCGTCTAGGATTGCGAGTCACGAGGCACTGAGCTTAAGACACATCCAGGCCGCCACGCCACCCGTTAAGCTCACGGAACTTGCAACCCCGAGTCGCGCTACCCCCTCCCCTCAAGCTTTCCCGTCGATTGGGGGGATTGGGGGGGAATTAATCGCTCGACGCTTTAAAGGGATGCCGCGCGGCCGAGCTTTGACGGTGAATCTCTTCGCCCCGCAGAACGAGTGCGAGCTTTCGGGGGTGGTGCCTACCCCCTTTGTTTACGGGGGTCGCTCGCGCGGTTCCCGCGGCGAGGCAATTTGCCCGAAGGAAGTCATTTTCCTCCGTTAGTTTGAGCTTTTACGGCCCGCGTCGGAATGGGGCGCGCGCAACCCCCGGGTACACACCCCTTGGAAGCTCCGGCGCGGTTTTTAGGGCCTGCCAGTAATCGAAATCGACGTTTTCTTCATTTTCCCTCCCCTCGTTAAATCCTGGGGTTTACGAGCGCGAAAGCAGGCCGACCAAGAGGCCGGGGGCACGGGGGAGGGGGGGCGTCGAAGCCGGCGAAGCTCGGCGTCGCGGGATCGCAAGCTCTCGCGGGGGCGGAAACCGAACCCGGCGAAACCCCTGAAGAAAGCGACCGTGTCTAAAAGTCGGCGGTGCGTGAAACGCGCTTTACCGGCCGAGAGCTTGCGAATCCCACCCCCGGGCCCGCCATTACTTTAAGTGCCACCCGCGAGAGTGTGGCAATCCCGTCTTACGGCGCCCCCGGGCGACGCAATGTAAATTAAACGATACCACCCCGATACTACTGGGCGGTGTTCGTTCGATTCGTTAAACTCACCCCTTCTGCACCCTGGGTGACTTTCGAATTTGTATCCGGTGTTCTATGAACGGGGATGGGAACTTATCCTCGCGAGGTGATAACAACCTCTTTTATGGGGGTAGGGCAGACACCCTTGAGGGTGGCAATTCCGACTTGCGACGAAATTTAAATGAATAGCTGCCACCCCGATGCCACCCTGATACCACACTAAAACCACTGAAACTCTTCGTTCAATTCATTAAACACACCCCTTCTGCACCTAGGGTGTTTTTCCAATCTGTATCTGACATCCTATGAACGGGGCGCAAAAACTCACCCTCGCGAAGTGATAACAACCCCCTTGGGGGGGGTGAGACGGCCACCCCGAAGAATCCCACATTCATCGGCCCGATTCCGCGAAGATAATAACGCGCGGCACGAAAGCTTCGGGGGTTGAACCTCAATCTGGCGAAATAATGGATCGCGTTCGGCCGATAGTCGAACCTTGACCGAAACCCTGCCACCCCCCGCAAGGGGTGGCAGGGTGTGCGTGTCGGAAACGCCATCACGCACGAGAGTGTGTACGCGTAGATTCGCGTGGAAGCGTGCATATCAATGCGCGGGGGTGTGATATAGGCCCATCATGGAAAGAGATATGTGTGTATGTGTGTGTGTGTGTTCAGCGGCCGCAAAGTGTGGGCGCGTTCCCACAGTTATCAAATCGGACACACAATATCCGCGAGCCTGCGCCATGGCAAGTATAATCCGATTAAAGTGCGGGCAAAATGCCGAGGTAAATTGCGAAATATTATGCATTCGCAAAATATACCCCCGCGAGGACCGCCACCCTCTCCAGGTCGTTGTGGAAGACGAGGGGAGCGATTCTAGGAAGAAAAAGAATCGAGGAATGCGTCGGTTTATTAAATGGGGATTTTTCCGAATATAGCCATTGGTAATATGAATTTTTTGGAGGAATGAGGGAGGTGGAAGAAAAAAAATGTAAGGGTAGATATCTCACCTAATCGCGATGCGGTACGTCGCGTCCTTTTTCTCTCTCCCCTCTGACATCTTCAAGAAGAGGCCCTCGCAGAGTCGCGGAGTGAGCCCTGAGTCGTCCTGAAAAATAATTCTTCTATGAAGAAATAAGATTTTTCAAATTTTATGGGAAATTTGAAAAAATTGTTGGGACATGCATCGAATGGGATCTCTTGTCAAGGGGAGGCATTATCGCGATCGCGGCTCGCATTTGGCGAGTAAACGTCGCATTACCTCGGCCTATGAACGGTAATCGCAATAGTGAGGGGTGTCTCACCCCCCATCGGCTGTACATAAACCCCTGTATGTAAAAGAAGCGATTCGCATAGGGTGCTACGGTTTCCATAGCGATTCCCGGCAATGAATGCATTATCCCGGCAGCCGAGGGCCGACAATGCCGATGAATAATGAATGAGAGGCGCGTATGTACCTGTACATGTACTCGCGCATACATGGGGTTTACATTTCGGCCCCCTGCCCCTCACCTTGGGTCCCATCATGGTGTAGGTCTTCCCGGAAGCGCTCTGTCCGTACACGACGAGGCAGCAATTGTACCCCTTGAAGAGCGACTCCAGGACCGACAACCCGATGCTTCTGTACACCGTCTCCTGGCTGGCATAGTCCTCGGATTCAGGATTGGACGAGTCGAAGCAAAAGTCGAAACCGTACCTCTTGGTCCTCTCTCGACTATCTCCGGCTTTGCTTATGGGGACCTTCAGGTTCGTCAACGAAATGGCCGCCTTGTCCGCCCGCACCACCACCTCGGCGCCCGTTTGACACTGCTCCCTGGAGAACGCGAGATTCCTTATTTTTTTATGAGACTCCACGAGACACTCGCATGCCGTAAAAATTACCGTATGGAGATAAACCCTTCAATAAGGTGTGTGAATTTTTTCAGGAGTCTAGCTACTCGGGGAGGGGGAGGGGAATTGTAAAGGAGTCGCTTCGGACAGTCGACGAAATTGCTGCTTGCAGAGGGAAAGTGGAATTTACAAGGGGGTGTTTCATTACTTTTGGCGGGTATTACGTGTCGATTGGTGAATTCGTGAATGGAGAACGGTACTTCAGGCTGGAAGAGTCGCTCATTCACGGATTGATCAGAAAGGGGCCGGCGCCGCCTTGTTTTGAATGTCGATCGCCGCGAGAGGCTATTTAAAGCGCCCTCTGTGGATGGTCCCCATGTGTGAGTGCGTTATTCTAAAATCCCGCCGTTTTGCAGGGCCCGTAAGTGAGGTTAGGCTATTTCAAGTCAGGCTCCCTTTCTTTGCTCGGCTTCGCCTCTTTGGGGCCTGCAAATCCAAGGTTCGCCCTCCCCAGAAGTTCTGCAGAACCTTCCGCCGACGGCGTCTCTGGCCGCCACGATTCTGCAGAAATGGCTGAACTTTTTCACCGAGAAATTCGGGGAAGAAGACGGGACGCTACGGAATCATGGCGGCCGAGGGACGCCACCAATATGCACCATCGACCGCCATATTTCCAATGAAACCGCCTCGTCCCATCTCCCAGACTTCCCCACAAAAGATCAACTACTTCCACCCAGGTTCTCCAAAATGGAGGCGGTTGGGTCCCCGCGCCAGAAGCGTATGTGCAGTCGGACACGCGAAATCCGGGAACGCAACAAGTTGCAGTTTTCGTCTACGAGGCACGAAAATTGAGCGGCGGCCCCGACGCCGCCTTGGAATTCGAAGCCATGATTATTGGCGTCTACTTCTGCACGAAACATAGCCAGAGAACTTTCCCGAGTGGTCCTCACCGCGCTTCCAACATGGCCGCGCAATCTGAAGACTCGTGAACGTTCGCACCGGTTCCTGCCACTTTGAAAAATCTGAAAAAATTATTTCCCCTCATTTCTATCCCGAGGGAATTTTTTCTAGGGTTTCTGGAGGAAGATGCGAAAAACCTGGCGAGTTTTGGCTATGGACCAGCGGCATGTGTCTTTTTGGGTGATTTTTCAAAAGCGCTCGCGCGTGCCGCGACGTTTATGCATCCGCCGAGCGAGATACGATCGGGATAACGGATTCGATCTGTGCGTTTCGTCGTTAGCCCGACGCTCGGCGTCGTGACGAACGTCCCTCTGGCTATAAAAGCTCGAGCGAATAGTCGGGCACGGACGTCGAACGCCAGTTAACCGAGGCCGACGCGCGTTTCGGAATTGAAACGAATTGCCCGTCCCTTCGCGCGCCGCCGAGCTGCGAGAGGACGTCATCGTTAAACGCGGGGATAAATTATGAAGAAAAAAAATGTCCCGCGTCGGGATTTCCAGGATTTTTATCGAACCCTGCGGGAAGGAATGTCCGATCCCAGATTAAAAATCAGGATGATAAAAAAGCCCGCTCCTTAATTCCTCCCTTTACGACCCGAAGGATTGCTTCCAGTCATGATGGTCGAGTGTTCAAACCCCGGAGGAGGTCAAAACGATTTTATTTTTTTTTTTTTCGAAACCGATTAGGTTTCTAGCTCGAGCCTAATGCATGCAAATACATTTAGCTCGAGCCGGGTTGCTCCACTTGGCGAAAGCTCTTAGAAATGGCGAACTATCCTCGGTTTGGCCTATCCTGCCCCTCCATATCCATTGTTACACGGAGGAAGAAAAAAAAGATACATTCAGCCAAAAAAATATTTCCTTGAATAATGGCAAAGAAAAATATATATTTAATTCATATAATAATTATTTGACTCCAATAAATCGTCGCGAGTCGATTTTATCTCAGTTACATAATTATTCTTTGAAGGAAGAAAATATATCTTTGTTTGAATGACATTTTTTCCTCAGGGTGGAATGATGTCAGGAAGTCTGTCTACCTATTCGGAGCATCTTATGGTGGAGGTCCTTTAATGGATTCCGATGAATCAAATCGGGCCATCGGTTTATCCGGGTGCATCGATCTTGTCGACGTTCCTGCACAGTGCATCGTCTTTATGACGTCGTTTCGACGTCCCTTTCGCGGGGCTTTCTTAGCTCGCAGGTCGTTCCTGTTTCCGGTAATGCTTTCCGGTGACCCTGCCTCTCGCCGTTGGCTTGCCTCCGTCGTTTCGACGGCGTTTTGCTTCCATTCTGCCGCTACCCTTCGACTAAATATAGATTGAATCTCGCTGCAGAGTGTTCGTATATGCACCTGCAAGACCTCATACACTCCCACGGGAAATGTGAACGTGTTTACGCGTTAGCTGCCACGAGAACAAGTAACCAACCATCGGATTTACCTCGAGCCAGCCGTTCCTCCTTATGACGATTTTCCCCGATCACGAGTTAAGGCGATGTGAAACTGGCGACAAAGATGTCTCGTATATGAGACCTTTCTCCTAACCGGGTGCAACGAATCGTTTCAAACTTCACCACGTGAATATGGAGGCTATAAGATAGGTCCCGACACCCATGAAATTTCAATTTTTTGTAAATTTGTTTATCGACACTCTTCAAATATTTGTTATAAACAATCAAATTTTATGGGTCTTAGGATCTCCCTTTCGGCCTCCGCGTTTATGTGACGATGCTTCAAACGATTCGGCACATCGAGGTTTGCAGAAAAGTTCCATGAATGACTTACCCCTCGAATGTTACTTTCACATCGCTTTAACCAATCCACATCGATTCGGGCCCTCCAAAAAGCCTGAAATTGGGGGGAAAAAAAAAATTCGCTTTCCATTTCCAATCCACCCCTCTTCAGGGGGTGGAGGTCGCTCGGGGACGGCGGGCGAGTGCGAAATGAAAAATGGTTTTTCCGCCCTCTTTTCCTTTTTTCTCGCGAGCCTATAACTTGCTTTTTTCCCCGAAACGCTTTGACGATTCCCGCGGAGCCCCGATAAACACTTGTCGACGGTGAAATCGTTAACGCGCGTCGTAAAATTGTTTTTCGATTGCGAGGCGACGAAGTATCGTCATTTCTGGGGTCGCATACCCTGGGGACCTGCAAAACTGAATTTTCGGTAGCTGACTTTCTTTTTCTTTTTCTGCCGCTCTAGAAAGGAATCGAAAAATTCCTAGATGGATCTCCGTCGAGGTTGGTCGGTCTGACATTAGAATATGATATTTCATTGCCCAAGAATTAATATTGCGTATACTTTCGTGCGTTTTTAGGGCCGAAAAATGAGACTGAACATTTTTGAACTCACCGCTCGGAGATCGGTCTCACCCTGACCGCCACCTTGATGTTCGCCATATCATTTCTCGGCCATTTCCGGATCCGGACTCAGACGAGGCTGCTGATCATCTTCCATTTTACTCGCGATTAGGGAGACTTCTTGGAGATGTCTTTTTATATCGTCGTGGCTTGTCAGATCGGGAGGACTTCTGCCGATCGGGAATCCTCGCCGATCGACTTTTGGCCTACATTTTTTGGTCGGAAACGAGAAACTTAGAGCGCTGCCAGTTCGGAAAAAGAGGGATCGCGTTTGCGTGCACGCCGAGGGAGCACGTGTTGTACTGCCGCGATGAAAATATCCTCGAGTCGCTCCCAAGTCGCCTCGTGGTTTGCCCCACTCTGAGAACAGCTGAGTCCAATAACTCCGAGGAGCTCGGAAAGGCCCCCTTTGCCGAGAATGGATATCCGAAAGAGGGTAAAAAACGTTCCCAGGGAGAGAGAAATTAAAAAGCCACTCGGCGACCGCCACGAAGCACCGCCGAAGAAGACCCGAGAAAGTCCTGAAGAGACGCTAGAAAAACCCTGGAAAACTTCGAAAATGTCCTAGTGATCCGAGAAACCCTGAAAATGGAGCCCAGAATCCTCGAATAAATAAATTCATTCGCTGGAATCAATTTTAATATCAATTCCCTTTAGATGACTCCACTACCGTGACATCTCGTAGGAGAATTGTCTCCTTCCTGAAATCCCAGAGTCCGAGCACTCTCCCGGGGTGTTCTCGAGGGTGTATGCGAGCTTGTGGGACGTTTGCGGGGACGTTTCCCGGAAAAGACTCATCCTTTGGTACTCCAGATATTGCGGGTGCATGTACATTCGCCGTTGAGAAGCTTCGCCGGGGCCGTTGCTCAAAGGTGTGGAAACGTTTCGTCTTACTTTGCAATCCCTGCCGAGGAGCCGCTTTTACTTCTCGTCTACCGCCTTTAACATGGTGAAGTACGAGAAGGACGTACTGAGAACCTGCGGAAGGGGGCATTAAAAGAAACGCGGATCAGTTGCCGCAATCGCGCTTTCATCTCGCGACTGGCAAATCTGAACCGGGAAACCGTGTCTGGCCTTTGAAACTGGAAATGGCGCATCTCGCGAGAAAGAATGGAAAACAAATAAAACAAACCGAAGAAAAAGATAATAAGAACCCGACGAAGATTGCATCCACTTTCTTTATATAATCCTTTGTAACGAATTTTGGCCGACATCCAAAATTTCCATGATCGTCATTTCGTGAATAGAAAATCTCTCAAAAACAGAAAATCGTGTCTGGCATTTAAAACTGGAAATGGCGCATCTCGCGAGGAAGAATGGAAAAGAAATTTAACAAGCAAAAGAAAAAAAATAAATAAAAACTCGACGTGGATTGCATTCACATCCTGTACATAATTCTTTAGCGTGAATTTTGGCCGATTTCCAGAATAGCCATGATCGTCATTGCACGTTTAAAAATTGTTGACATTTTCAGGATAACTTCGGGGATGTTTTCTCGTTGAATGTCCACTTACTGCCTGAAAGCTCTTCAACGACATGCTGTAAAATTTCGCCGCAGTGATCGTACATGGTACCCTCGATCTCATCATGATTATTTGCATGCTCTTTGCGTAAGGTGCGTTTTCCGTCCAGCCGCTGTCGTACGCCGAATCCGCTACGGCGATGCTCTGTAATCGCAATTAGCAATCAATTACAGGGGTTTAAGTTGCATTAACTTAATTACACTATTTAAAGCGAAACACCTGGCCGACCTCGTCCATTAGTTCGCCTCCGCCGAAACTGAACATGAACAATTCGAGGATGGCGGAGTTCAGGAATGCCGAGTATTTCATAAGGCGCCCTTTGTCCTCGAGCATCTGCCCGTTCCCGGGATTGCGCGGAATTAATTGAAACGGAGCTTGTGAGAATTCTGCCGTTTCCTTTTTTTAATACACTTATATATAAAATTCACTTACGGAGGTAACTTGGAAGCCTGCGAAGCAGACCAGACCGGTGCTGACGAGGAATTGCCCAAGGGCCACGACGTTTATGGCACTTTCTAGGGTCCCAGCGAATCTGTGACAAAATATGCGAACTATTTATCCAAATAATTGTTCAGGGGAAATTGAATATCAATCTTATGTGAGCGGTTTATCGGGTTGGCCACACACTCGATGGCATCCTGATGCTGCTTTATATAGCGCGTTGAAAGTTCCTCCGCGTTTGGCTCGTCGCCTTTCAGAGACTGCAATTTCCTTCCAACGAGAGCAAATCTTGCAGCCCCGTGTGTCACTGTCACGAGGGTGAAGGTGGTGACAGCGGCTATAGAGCTGCCACCAAATACACCGCCTATGATCTCGTAAATGTACAGACTCTCGTACACGGGAGAGACCGTCGCGTTGATGAAAAAGTGCCCCCGAAAAGGCAACCATCTGCGTTCAGCCCCCAAAAGTTGCAACTGCAAGGAAACAAATATATATAATTACATATTATCGTAAAGAATGTTTATATCACCACAAAGACAGATCATAAACAAACCTCGAGTGCAGGAATGGCGATGAAGAAAAAAATTGGCATCGCCACGGAGAAGATGAAGTACTTGGCCAGTCGGTAGTGAAAATCACATTTTTCTTTCAGAAAAGCCCTATCTTCATAGGAGAAAGTCGCCCAATCCGATTTCATGGTTTCTACGACATGTACAAGGTGTTTCTCGTGAATCGAAAGAATAGCGATTCTAAACGTTGATAAGGCGAAGGCGGACGCTATCAAGGCGCACTCGGAAGCTTCGTCCATGTTGTCCAATTGTCGAAAAGAGTCCAAAAACCCAGCTACAGATAATGTGCTTGTAATGACGATGATCAGAAGCTTGTGGAAAATCTTCAGAATTATTCGGTAACGACTGCAGTCCTTTTTCAGCGGCCATAGTGATATCACTTGCATGACTATCTTTATCGGCTTGATCCGCAGGTCGAATTCTTCTCTACCAGTTATCTCGGTTGAATTCATATTCTGTAAGAATTTGAAACCACGTTAATGTAAATATCGCTAATAAATACTAATTATAAAAATAAATTACCTTCACTTCGGGGAGATTTACCGCGGTTGGTAATTAGCTTCGACGTCGAGGGTGCTTAGAGGACTTCGTTAACTTTTGCGCATTCTGTCGGATCGGTTTGCATTCGAAATCGGTGATTTATCGCGTTTCCACCGGTTCGCCGTTTTGCACGCCGCGTTAAGCCGCGCAATACTGAAATTCAGTTGCACGGTTTTCCCGGAGCACATGCACGCGTGGAAAATCTATATGTTAATATGGTGCACTCCTCGCAAGGGGATAATACCCGATGCTTGAAACTTCCTAACAACGGGATTGAAACTTCATCACACCGCCACTTATGGGCGTTCCTCCACAGTTTCTGCGCCCTACTTTGCTACTCGAACACGCAGAAACGGCGGAAAAGTGGAGAAACGTTTGCGCCAACTTTTCCCCCGAGTGTCGTTTACAAATGGCCTCTATTTATCTCGACATGCCGTCGAAAATTCGGCATAAAACGGCCCGTCGATTTCCCCGAATTAAACGATCTAATTTGGCCAGGAATTATTTTTTCCCATTTTTCTTGTTTTTTTTTTTCATTTTTTTTTAAGTAAGACATTCGCGTGCAACTAGCAAAATAAGTTGTTGGGATAAACACGCCATCCGGTACCTGCGAAAAGTACCTCTTGGAAATGTTTATATCAACGAAATGCCCAACTGCATGAAATATGGCCAGGTATTATTTTTCCAATTTTCTTTTTCCCGGCCAATCCAACGCATTTCCAAAATTATCCGAAAGGGATGTTTGTTGGAGTAGAACAATCGCGTGTAATTAGCGAGACGAGTTGTCGAAATAAACACACCACTCGGTACCTACGAAAAGTACCTCGCGGTGAATGTTTATCGACGAAATGTCCAACTGCATTTCATTGGAATAATTAATTGCACGGACTGCATAATACGCAATTCCTGGAAATGGGCTAATTGGAGAATTTGTTTGAGGGCATTGTGTTTGAGGATTCGGGTTAATGTCGGGGGACAAAATTGACTCTTTGCATGGAATATAGCGGGATGATACTGGTGATTGTGATTTTAGGGGAGAAAGTTCACGCGGTTATTAGTGATAGCGCGCGGATAGAAAGTGAACTAATATTTGAAATTGAAAAGTCCATTGACCGTCGGTACAGAAGTCCGTTTCATCATATTGATAACATTATCGTTGACTATTTCGTCGACTGCCACCTTTTCCCGCTCTACTTACCAACCGTCGAGTTTCTTTTCTTCTACCGTACATTTTTACCAACTGCAGGAACACAAAGATACTAAACAGACGATGCTGCCATCCAGAGATGAGTTGGGAGATGGCTTACGGGCAGGATCGTGCGATCGCATCCTGTGCTGCCCTCTGGTTTCGTACGNCACGATCCTGCCCGTGAGCAATCTCCCAACTCATCTCTGCTGCCATCTGGTAATGATAGTAACCTTAAACGAATATATTTAAGAGGAAGTAGAAAAATTATTCGATATGTGAATGTATGATTATTTATTGAGAATTATTTGTCTTGGGAAAAATTATTTACATAATATCGGTCTGCCAGTTACCTGAATTACCGACCACGGATTACTCGGCAATTGGGATTATCTACAGCTGGTAAAATTAGGATAAAGAGATGTACAGATTGATAACAAGGGTTTCTATGCTAACATGTCCTGATTTATTCTTACACAAGGTTCAAGCTCGCAGCTGGCCTTCGTCAAGTTAGAAGTTATCACTGCTTATGATTAATTTCCTCATTTTGACATCGTCGATAGTTTGCCGGCCGAGTCAGCGTTATTAATAGTGAAACTTCGCATTGTGGTGGCCAATCGGGAATTGATAAATTATCGGTACCAGCTGTCAGGGCAGGGATCATAAATATCAGTGCAGCGACCCCTTATCACGAGTTTAACAAAATGTTAAGGTTTCTCCAGTTTTTATTAGCCGAGTCCAATCATTACAATAATGCACTGCAGCCAATTACGCGGGCTTTATATTTCCTCGGAGTATTCTCCTCTGATTGCTTTTTATAATTTTAATATGGACTCGGGTGGCTGGATCGGATCTTCTTTAATAACTTTCCTCAAGAATTTTTCAAGATTCAGGAGCGAACATGGCTGCTTGCATCCTGGCATCTCCAGGACACTCGGAATTACTCCGTTAGGATCATTCAGGAACTTCACCTACAGTTACGAAGAAATAAATTAATAAAAATAAAATTTTCATTACGGACGTTAATATATTAGATTGAGGAATAAGTTCCCGCTGTTATGCGTTAAGTTACGTTAAAAATGGCGGAAACTTATTTCTCAAACTAATAAATTAAAAAACATACCTTCACTTCCTGACGTTCCTTGCCATTAACGACGACTTTTCTCAGTTCGATAATTAAAGTGCCTGCGAAATTGACTTCGGTGAAGGTCTCGTTGATCCCCAGAGTATTCAATACGTTGCTTACTGTAATGTCATGGGCGGAGTACAAGTGCACACTTTTTGCCGAGCCTTGATTTGCACTTTTCAATTTATAGAGAATCTCGTTCAACAGTGGCCCCGTGAATTCTGGAACCAAGAAAAAAGTAACACACCTTGTCGGAAATAATATAACCGCACCTTGAGAAAAGAAATGACATTAAACCAAAGAAATATTCCTTTGAATGGTACCAAACAAACATTTTGTCCATCGAGATTAATTATCTGACACAAATAATTTGTGAAAATTCCGAAAGAAATGTGGCGTCCAATTGATTCCAGTTTATTTCAGTGAATTATTCTTCGAATTGACGAAATATATCTTTGGCACTGTTCAAAGAAATATCGTTTCGGCTCGATGAATTCTTTTTCTCGGTGTAAGAATATTTCGGCTTAATTTCTCGAAATTTATTTAATTACGAAATAATACCTCCGTAAGCAATTTGCTTCGCCAGCTCTGGGTGGAGCAGTGCTTGAGCTGATTGCTTTAAATAATGCTGAGGATGTGTTAAATACTCCAGGGGAATGCTTTTCGTCGCCTGAAAGTACAACAAGGACTTATATGTCGCACATAAAAACGACGCGCCGCATTCTCGCGCATTAATTATATTTTTCCCTGCCGCGGTTCCGGACAATGAAAATCCATTTAGTCAGTGAATTTCTTCTCATTCGGTTCCTCTTTAATTCCTGGCAGAACCGATTTGACTTCGAGGACTCGGCGACGCCATGAATAAAATTAATCAAAACTTACTGGATCTCGTTTCTCCGCGAGGCGACGTACACACTTTACTCCGCAACTACCTATCCTTAACGTTAAATTTACGGTGTGCGATCTTCGTCGAAATGCCCCCGGAATTTCTTTAAAAACCTCTTTCCTTAACCCCACTTACATGTATGTGCTGAGAAAAAGAAATTCATTGAACCATTTGATTAGTACCAAGGAGATACACTTATCCCTCAAAGAATAATTATTTAGCTCAAATAAGTTGTCGCAATTCCGAAGAAACGTCGCATAGCAATTTACTCGATTTTATTTCAGTCATGCAATTATTCTTTAAATTAACGAAGTATTTCTTTGGCCATTCAAAGAAATGTTTCTCTGGTTCAATGAACTGAATAAAATTAATTAGTGTGTGTATATTTATTTTTTATTTTTTTCCTTGTTTTTACCTTCTCCAACTTGCCCAAATTCGTATGTACCGGCACTGGTCGCCAAATTAATCCTGGAACGAAGGCATCCAAAGGATTCGGGTAGTACAAACTTGCCAATAGACATTGTACAGACATTATGGTGCGATCTACCGACGTGCTGACGATCGATATTTCCGAAGGTTTATAAGTCGATCTAAGTAAATGCCCATAATGCTGGCGAATCCACAAGCCTCTGGCGAATAATTGCAACATGCCCTTCTGCAAGTACAATTTTTCTCTCGTTCATATCACCCGAATTATTCGTATAAACATTTAATTAAATAGTTTTCCCACCTTCGTCAAGATGCCAGAATTGTCCTCGAGCTCTCCGCCTTGTTTTCCGAAGAGGGGAAGTAAAGGCGTTCGGTCACCATGTCGAAATAACTTAAATTAACGTTTAAAAGTTAATTGACGTTAACTTAACGTTTAAAAATTAAATTCATTTAAGAAATAAATCATTTGAGCGAGCGCTCAGTTTCAGTTCATACATTATAAACGTCTCAAAAATATTCCAAATCAAAATCACAGGTTTTGTTACCATAATGAAACAGCGGAACGAAAATATTGCAAAAATTTATAATGTTTTTTGATACCAAATCATGTGTCCGATAATAATCTTAAAGTAAAACATGTACTTCTATTACATGTTTATATATTAAAAAATTTAATTTTGATATATCTTGATAAGTTATTAAAACCAAATATGTCATTGAGATTTTCCAAGAAATATTTTACATATCTTCAAATGAAATCTTGAAGACATCTTAAAAACTTTATCGCTTGAGAAATTTACCAAAGATTACAAAGAAAAATATATTTAGAGATTATTCTGTACTACTAGGGAAGGAAAGAATTCCAAATATTTTATTGAATTTCGAAACTTACCACGTGCACTTGTATGACGTCGCGATTAGGAGTCTCGCCCAGTTCAACATCCGCATGCACCTTGTAAATGCAAATAATAAGGACACTCAAAATGAATAGCCACGATTGTTTATTCCTGGACCGACATGTAGATATCAGCAACGCCTTACTTGAAGTCATTTCTACCCGGGAAAAATGAATTAAAATATTGAATCACCCTCTTTAACCGTTTGAGTCCTAGGGGGTATTGAAAAAACACTGTCGAAGAATCCCGAACAGCGCAACCGCGCTTTCTCTAAATGAGTACGAGAAGACCCAAACAGCGCGATAGCGCTTTGTTTATTTTATGTCGATGAATCCCACTCGACGCGATAGCGTTTCTTGAATTGTAAGATGTATTATTTACACCCTTGCGTTACGATTTAAATTCCAATAGCGCGTGCCATAAACAACAAAAGTGTCGGTCATACGTCGGCCCATTTCACGGCTTGGCTGAACGTAACTTCTCATACGGTTTGTTTACATTTGGCCCGATTGACATACCACGTCACTCACACGTTTTGTTCACGTTTGGCCCGATTGATTTACCACGTCTCTCACACGATATTGTAAGTTAAGAAGTTAAAAGAAGGAGCTGTGTAATGTACTTGGGTCAGTGAATCTGAGCGACTATGACAATCGGTGTCACACCGTCAGTTGTCCACAACGCTCGAAATGTGCTGGGTTTTCTCGACATAAAATCTGAACAGCGCAATCGCGCTGCCTGGGACTCAAACGGTTAATATCGAAATTAAATACTTCGACGGAAACTCACCTTCGTTCGAAATCCGTGCGGCCGGATTTCGGAAATGAATTTCCGGGGTCGAGCAACGGCACTGAGTCTTCCGGAATAATCGGAAAGCAGTGGCTTAATTATTATTTTCACGTTTTATATACTTATCCTGATAGCGTTGGATTTACGATACCGCGGGTGGTACTCGAAAACGTGTCGAGAGGGGTAAACAATTTCCTGTAAGAGCGATTTACTCGACCAATGGCAGGAAACCAATTGCACGTGACATTGGAAATCGAGGAAGGCGGGTCTATTCGAGCTCCCCGATTGGTCGATATCTAAATCACGACTATCATCCTCAGATGATTCACCGTTTTAAAAGCGATCCTACGTGAATGCATCTCCAAGCGGGTCGATTTTTATCTAGTTTAATGCAAATTTACGAGCGTTATCTTAATGACGTTAACAGGTTACCATGAACCTGTCACGTGGGTGCCACAATATTTGTCCTATCCTGAAAAGCAAGACCTTCCGAATTCTAAATTAATATTCCAAGATTCCCGAAAGGTGTCATCGATTTTTCTCATTTATATCGTTTCACTATACCGTTTCAGGGAGATATATTTTCGCCAGAAACACGAGTCGACGTCATATTCCCGCGGGTTGAGAAAAGCACGTGTTTGCCAGCAATATCATCAGCAAATGCAAATGACTGTCATGTTTATACACTTGTCAACGAGCTTAAACCACGGCTTAAAGACCGAGATAAGCGCGTCATGCACGTGAACACACGTGAAAGCACGCGGAAATGTCTTTTGCATATTTCCCAGAAGAATGGAGAAGCATAAATTGTAATTTTTCCGCGTGAATATAGGTGATAATTTATGCAGCGGTATTTAGAAAATGCCGGCGGAGGGAGAAGGAGGGTTTGAAAGAGACTTGTCAGGCCGCTGCCAGTGGGTTAAAGTAACATTTATTTACGGGAAACACGAGGCGAAGTTGCGTCTTGATAGACAGAGCGTGACAATAGACGTGTCCATGTAAGTGCTAATTAGTACGGTGCATCTCGCGAGGTCGATCGCGATCGATAATAATCGAATCCAGGAAGGAATCCTCTCGAAGAAATCGAAGGACCGCTAGACTAGAGGCGAGAGACGCCTTTCGCATAACTAATACTTCCGGTAATACATAGACGATCGATCGACAGTAATCAGTGACGTAACGAGCCGATCGATCGATCAATTGCTCCAGAAATCTCTTGAGCATCGCCATAAGTTCTCATTAGGCCTAAAAGTGACGACATAATCTATCTACATCTAAGGGCAACTAATTCCGACGAAAGAACTATTCCATGCTAATCTCTAATCGCTTATCATTACATCGAGCATCGACAAGCGCCTCCACCAGGACGAAGAACTGAGAGAATAATTTTCGTCGATGGAATCGAACTCCAATAACGAGATCAATATCGAGGAAATCGGTGTTAATGCTCACAATTGGGCTGTAATGAGTTCAAGACCCGATGGATACGTATTGTCAAAGTTCTAGGAAACGAATAAATGTTTATAAACAAGGACAAAGCAAGCCCTAAGTACACATCGTGACAAGATGATGCATTTTTAAAAACAATTCTCCCGGGAGATTTAATTTTGGTGGATTCAGTGACGCGCAACAGTCGATCAGCTGATTCTCGAATCAGCTGATGCTCGATTCTAACCGGGGAGAGATCATCGCGGAATTTGTACATTACCTCCTTTTCCGCGTAAGGATCCGAAACGAGAGCGGTATCAGGCTTTGTTTATACACTGCAATTAATTGCAAACGAGACAGTTTTCGCACGTGGTCTAATTCTAGTCCTAGAGATCTATGAGACCTGGAAAGCGGAAGTAGAGAGCAGGCGAGGACGGGGGAAGGACCGGATGCTGGGGAGGATTTCATAGGAACAAGAGCCGCTTCGAGTTTTCTTTTCGGCAAGGAAGGACGGGCTGTTTAAGGGTCTTTCGCGGATTTGGGAACCGAGCTAGCAGGACTGTTAAAGAACATCTACGCTTGTTCGGAGCGACGCCTCCTTCCTGGACCACCGGCGTAATTTGCTGCTGCGAGGCCCATCAGATGTTTCGCCGCCTGGGAGCCGCTGAAGCCGCGGCTCAGTCCCAGGTCCAAACCCCGCTTGGTGCTGGGGATGTAAAAAACGATTTAATACCCTCAGAATTAAAAGCAACCCCTTCTAAATGCGCCCAAAGCACATACTTTTCGAGATCGTGTGTGCGGATGTAGTTCTGCCCGATCCTAGCCAGCATCTCCAACATCACCTCAGGGTCGTCTTCGTCAAGTTGATTCCAGTAGCTCTGAGGTCTGCACAATGGTTGATTAAATCATTAGTGGAAAATGCTTTCGTTCTTCATAAAATTACTAAAACTGAATTTTTAATTTTGAAAAAGGCCGACGATAAGCCCTGTCCATCCTGATAAAAAAGTGTTGCATGACTCAAAGAAATACGCCTTGCTACAACACAATCCTGCGATTCAATACGTCCGAAGAAATGTCAGGAAGAGTAAACAAATTTCGTTTAAATCAAGATATAATTTTTCATCTCAACAAAATAGTCGTTTCTTGCAATTGTATATGATTTAGGCAACGATATATGTCAACAATGTATTCAGGGAATTAATCTTTTTTCGCAGTGCAAGGACTTCTAGGTTCGACGAGTCTTTTCGGGCAACAATAGTCGTGGATATTAACATCCGTAAACTGGCGCAAAGCGGTATTAACTCGAACCTGAATTGCAACCTCTGGCGAAATTGAGCATTGCGGCTTGTCCATGCAAATGGCGCAATCCAGAGACTCTCGCGAAAGTATGTCGGAGGCGATTCCGGAACCTCGTTTGCATTTCCGCTAGTTGCATCTCCAAAACTGCGGGGCGCTTACTTCGCTCTTGCACCCCGAAAGGGTCGACTTCAAAAGTGGGAACTCATATTTAAGGACTCCCCGGGGAGACCTTTTGCACCCCGCGTGTCCTGGGGGATCGACTCGGCGGAAAGTGGCGAAAGTGGAGAAACTAGGTTAAATTACGCGCCGCCACCGAATGCATCCCTCTCCTCGTTTACAACAGCCCCGATCGCCACCCTCTCGCCGGCTGTCATAATGATTCCATTAGCGAAATTAATTTCCCGGCCGTAATTTCGACGAATCGTCCTGACCAGGCCGAAAAAGGGTGTTATGAGGTCCTTTTTCCCCATAAAACCCTCTTTTAGTTTCAAATAATAAAAATACCATAACACATAATTTGAAAATAAATTACTTTCTTCCAGATTCTTGGACGATCAGCCGAACACTTGGACTCCCACATGGAAATAGATATATTTCAAAAATATATGTGAAAACATATTTTAATATGTAAAAGAAATATATTTTCTTATAAACTGAAATTTAATTATAAACAAAAATATATTTTCACATATATATTTTTAAAATGTATTTATTTCCATGTGGAAACTCCTACTTACTTTCGGAGTGGCGCCAAATTTACAGGTGCAGGGTTTTTTAAGAAACGGGACTAAAGTGTCAGGATTTTATTTTTTGAGAGTGAGAGGATGCTTCTAATGTCGGGAAGAAACTCGATATTTTGGTTAAAGAGGTGTTAAAAATTTGTTAAGCAGGGCATACTCACGTGTAGGGTGCTGCCCCTGCAGAGGAGGAGAGTGTAACTACAGCAATAGCCGCCAAGAGCATCCAAGAAAGTACGGTTTCCCTCTGCATCTTTGATGTTCTAGCCCGCTGCCTCGTTGATCTGCAACGTTAAGAGGTTGTAAAGAAATTTGAGAATTTTTCCAACCCCCTTTCTCGGCCTTACTCCACTGAGAAAAAAGATGAATTGACTGATACAAAAAAATATATATATTGTTGACAAATATACCGTTACCTAAATCGTATATAATCGTAAGAAACAATAATTTTGTCGAGAAGAAAAATTGATGTCAATTTGAACAAATTTTATTTACTCCGATTCTGTTTCGGGCGAATTTGATCACAGGATTTTGTTGTCTCAGTGCAGATTTTCTTTCAGTCAATCAACTTTTCTTTTCTCAGTGTGGCTTTTAAATGAAGAAAATAGAAATTCCTGGGAAAAATCGTGGAGTGACGAATCGACACGATTAGCGGCCGATAAATGGAATTCCGGAATCCGCCATAAATTTTCCCCTCGCCTCGATCGAACTCTTCGGCACCCCCTGGGTGTGCCATTTTCACGGTTTGCGGTGTGCCCGATAATTAGTTCAATTGATTTCTACTCGCGTAACGTTTCCGCGTAATTGCCGGGAGTAATTGCACGAAGAGAGAGCTTCTCCTCCGCGGGACTTTCAATCCGATCTTTTACTTATCGAACACCACTTCCGGTTGCTAAAGGATTCCTTTATCGCGCAAAGAATTTACTCAAACTGTTATAAATCCATCGCCGGTAATTGCGGATTGTGAGAAATAAATCTCAAGACACAGCCGAGGCATTTCCCAAGCAGGAAAGATTTGAGGTGGTTAGTATTTTTCATAATTGAAGAATTTAATTCCACGTTGAGAGATTTTCCTAAATAAATACTGTCAGAAAAATGTCGATAAATCCCGTAGGCAATGCATGGGAGATGTTTTCAAAATCCCATCCGGGGGTCGCTGTTAAATTGCAATATCCCAAAAATGTTTGAATTCACTCGGTTTCCGGGTAATTCCAAAATGGCCGCGGTTACCTCCGTGGTAACTCTCGAACCAGGTCGTTTATTTCCCGGAACTAAGGCGGCATTGTTTATTTTCGCAAACTGGTAATCAGTTTGCTTAGCGTACCCTGTACTTAACTCCTGATACCGTCTATTGCTTCTTGAAGTTTTGATCGCGAAGTCGAATGAATTATTTTCCCGGCTAAATGGCCGAAGTCTAGAGAGTTAGCTCGGTTGCCAAGAGCCGACAACTTGCCAGTTTAAACGCAACAGGCAATTTTATTCCCTATACATCTCACGTCTCCTTTTCCGCCCTTCTTCGCCCATCCAATTCTCGTCCGATTCTTTTACGATCCGATTTAACGTAGCTGGAAATCTGCAGCGATTCCCTAGCCCGAAGGACCATTAAAGTATACACATCTCATGAAATCCATTCAAGGATCGAGGATAATTCAAGGAAATAATAAAGCGACAGTGATTTATAAGCGATTGGAAATAAAATCGGAGAAGGGGGTTAGAAAGAAACGCAGAAAAGACTCTCCTGCGGCTCTTAAGTCGAATAACAATTCGGAAAAATAAATCCGTGCTTTTCGCATGACCGCTTGGGAGGAAAGTGAGTCTGGATTATCACTGTTGCGCTATCAATCATTCTCGTTTCTGCCTAATGATCCTCTCCCGTTAAAGGGGGATGACGAAGGCCCCAAGGGGACCTCTTCGTAGGCAAAGAGCCAACTGGAAGTGCCACAGAGGAGAAAGACTTCTCCCCCGTTACCTAATTTCTATTTTTTCACGACGTTACGATACTCGTAGAAATTCTGACCGAAGGCAAATCTTGCCGCGGGTTTGTCGGGGATATTCTGAGCGGCTCCATGGCCGCGGCATTGTTGGTGCCATAATGGCCACCCTCGAGGGACTCGACCTCCAGCTCGCCGACACCTTGTCTGTCTGGGAACCTTGAACTTAAAATAGTCCCTTTCTCCCCTCGAATCGCCACGACGAGTCGACTTAACCTCGGTTTCCTCGGTCGTTCCCTCGAAATTGCATTTCTCCGACCCCGATGGAATCGATCGATCGAAGGCCGATAATCGCCGGTTATGCCGGGCCCACGTAAACGCGCCGGAAGGACCGCAGGAATCCGCGAGTTATTCACTTTAACCCCTTAACGGCTTGCTTGAAACTTGTTGACGAGCGAATTGGGTCTTCAAGGTCTCTTAAAGAGGTCTCCCAAGCCCCTTTCGTCTTGGTCTTGATAAATGTGCCTAACGTGGGATTTCTCTGCATTTCATGACTATTTTTTTTTTTTTTCTGGAACATCTACGCAATGCACGTATGACGTCGGATATACGCATTGGTTTCTCTACATTTCATGAATTTTTTCTTCATCATACATCTATGCGACGTACATCCCCGCGGCCTTTCAAGCGGGCTGCGTTTTCGTTCGGGGTGTGTCAATTCAAGTGGCCGCTTCACCCTTTCACCCACCCCCGGGGACCTCGAGGGGCAAAAAGCAGCCTCCAATAAAAGTAACAACCGCGCTGGAAATATTCGATCTTATCCCTGAATGGGGAACTCGAGGAAAACCGAACCTCGATCCCGGTGCTTCATTTTTTTCAAAGCAATCGATCATAAATTGAAGCCGACCTTGCTCTCGACGAGACGAAATCTAAAGATCCTTATGCGACACTTTTTTTTTGGTTAAAAAGAAAACCTAATAAAACTGGACCGACAAATCCGAATTTCTATAAAGGAAGAGACGAAAGAATGATATTTAAATCACCCCAAGCTTTTCTCTGGTATCTCCTATCGATACGATTTAATCTCCCGTGCAACGATGCACCGTCAGGAACTCAGGAAAAGTGACTCCTCCGCACTCGGAAGACGTTTAGTGCCTATCTCACGATAGCGACACACTCATCGAAACGAGGACACAGATTAGCGGAAACGACACGCGGAAAAAACGCGTGAGCGGATTCCGCGTGCTTCTCGCAGTTTATAAAGGGGTCGGCAATGTAAGTGCGCTCTTGCGTCACACCCGTACAAGGGTGCATATATCGCACTTCTACAGGTGCACTTCAGTAATGTGAATATATACAGTTGCATGGAAACTGATACTGATGCATTCGAGCAGGGATTGAATAAATACAGTTGCATGGAAACGCGTACTGATGAATTCGAGCAGGAGTTAAACATGCACGATTACATCGAAACGCGTACAGGTCGATTCGAGCAGGAGTTAAATAGACACGGTTGCATCGAAACACATACTAATGAATTCCGGCAGAAGTTAAATATGTACAGATGCATCAAAACGCGTACAGGTGTACTCAAGCAAGGATTGAACGTATGCAGTTGCATCGCCTCGTACAGATGCATTCGAGTAAGTGTTGCTGGCCGACTCGACTTCCTTCGCGGGTACGGATTGAATAGTTAGTTACCGGGTTCCCTGGAGTACCTCAACTTTACAGGACTATTGTCTCGTTTCGCCGTGGCCTAGGCGATGCTCTGCCAGTCTTTCAAAACTAAACTCCAACTTCGAAGCCCCGCCTGAAATTAGCGCTTTCTAGCGTCCGGCAATGCGAGTGTAGCTCGCGTTGGATTTGCCCTAAAGGGCGACATATCTTCTCGCGACCATTATGCACTTCTCCTCCCCTAACCTTCCGATTTTCCTCACCCTCCAAAACACGCGTGCTACGCAACCCAAACAGAATGAAATCCCAAATTAAATTTTTTTCACTCTACCATAAAGTCTTCCCGAGTTGTGCAATTTTCTTCTTTTTTTTTCGCCCCCAGCGACGCGCGCTTTCGGATGCACTTTGAAAGTCAATTAGCCCCGTTCGGTCTCGTTCCTTTTTTTTCCGCGAAAATTCGCGATGCGAATCCGACGTCGGATGAAGTGGCAGCTGACGGGCCGGCAATAAAGTGTCGTTTAGAACCGCGCTTTTCTCAAACGGCCCTTAAGTCGTTCAATATCGGCCTAGGACGATGCAATTCTCCTGCTATAAAACAGGCAGCTGCAGCTGCTCGTCTCTGTGGACGCAATCGACGCGCATTTTCTCACGGGTTCGCGAAACCGCGGATTTTCCTAGTCGCCCTCGTTCTTTCCAGGAAATGGCGCGAAGGAAAATGTTTAAGGCAAATTTCACGTCGGTCCGACGCGCCGTGACATTGGGGGGTTTTACTGCGCGTCCGGAGGGAAACTCTCGCTTCCTTTCCCACGTGGGAAAGATGCAGACCGTGTAATGGCCAGCCGGAAAAGTCGCCTGAGCGAGCCGGACGAGACGAAACCTCCGAATTTCGAGGAAAAGAAAGAGATTTGACAAGTTCAATTTCGCCTCGTACACCTCTTTCCCTAAGAACTGTTGACCAGAAACTTCCTTTTCCTAGCCAACTCCAAACTTTACCCTGAGAATTTTTGTATCAATTGTTCCTGACGAGTACTAATTTTTTTTTCCACTTAAATCTCGTTTTTATTTCACGTAAAACAGAGAACTCTGGACTAGAAATTTCCTTTTCTGCCCCCCCCCCCAGAAAGTATCCGAATTTTATAGGGGGAATTTTCTTCTTAATCCTTCCTAACGAGTACAATTTTTTCTCTCACTTAAAGCTCCTTTTTTCCCGGCTAAAAACGTTCTTTGAGTGATGTGTGACAATTAGAAAGATTATTATGCGACATTCGGAAATAAAGCATACGTGGAAAACCCTCCTCGCTAGACTGCCCCTTGATTTTAAAGAGCGAGAAATATCGGGCACGAAATACATCTCAAATGGAAAAGAGAAACGAGAGCGGATCCTACTCTAAGCTGAAAGAAATCGCGGACTTCGGAAAAATATTGGACTTCCGGTACGAGAGATAAGACGTCGAGGATCGCGCAAGCTTTTCGTCCTCCACGATAAAAATTCTAGGAATATTGTAAGATATTAATTCCACTTATTTAACAATATATACATATATTTGTGGATCTCTCAGAATTTGCACACGCGTCCCAATGCTACAGCAGAAAATTTTACATTACCGCCGGATGCGATTGTATTAATTAATTAAACATTTGCGTAGAGAAATTTCCTCGGCGCGAGATGTAACCTCAAT